CGCTCATACCATTCATACTTGACTGGATCCGTTTCGAACACCTCGTATGTCACGCTTTCAAGGTTAACTGTGAGAGGCTGCAGTGGCGCCTGCAAGTAATCTTGATATCCCAGAGTGAAGCTTTCCACGCGAGTCCACTGTGGCTGTTTCCTCTCTAAGTTTCGTATATATGACAGATGCGGCACCAGGTCGTCCTTTTTCTTTGGAGCCTGTGCTGCCTCAGCAGGTGTCGGAGAATAGCCGTCTATCTTCTCCAGTCCAGGTATCGGCCCAACGTCGCAGAGAAAGATCCATGGAGGGATGCCTCGCATTGCACGAAATATGTATGACTGATGTGCCTTGCTAAGGACAGGGTAATTTTTAGGGTTTTTCACAAACGAAGTGCTTGTCAATGTAAGTATACGAACAGGCTCTGACAACCACCTTGTCTGCACAGTGGATGGAGGAAGCTGTCGAGGTAACGATAGGGCTATATCAAACATGATAGTTAGCACGAATCAATGGTAGAGTCAATGGAGTAACAGGGATTGATCATGAGTTGATATGAAGGTTGGGACAAAAGAGGTCTTTGTGTGAAATGATCTTCTGGGTAAATACATTTTTCTTACCTACTGTTAATCTTGTATGATATTTACAAACTCTCCTAATTATATTCCACGCATTCCAGGTTCCAAACAAGTCTAACTTTGGGGATACTTCAGGCATTGGGTTGCCCAAATATTCGGGCCTAGCAAACGGAGAAATATCTCCCATTTGGTCTGCTTCCAAATCGGGATTGTCAACCACAGGTAACCAAATATTGATGCGAATATATGGTGCGGTTGTTAAAACCTCTTGAATTGCTCGAGAATAGTAAATCAGTCCATCCCCATGTGAGCCTCCATGGTGTAGTTTTGGACCAGGAATGATAGCATGATGGACACCACAAAATGCAGCATAAGCCAGTTCCAACAAGAGAACTTGGCGAGATATATCAGCAATCAGTGGATCTGGCGAACACATGTCTATCCATCGACTAGACACAGCAACCACATAACTGTTGGTTCCTTCTGGTCGCAGATTCGTGTCTGCGGTCGTAAATGAGGGTATTTTGAGAGGCGCAGAATTACGCGAGGTGAAATATGTGCCAGTTACGTCCTGGACTGGCTGATGAACTGTTGAAAGATGGCTTGACAGTAGTGAAAGGACACGCGATTGAAAATGCGGTGTCGTTATTGGTGTTGTAAGCATATCATACTAAATATTCGTTAGAAACAAGTGTGTCGAGGGCGTGTATAGGAATGAAAATATCATACCCCATTATCATGAGCCAATTGAGATATTTCATTATTGATACGGAACTTCCGGTCGGATTCATGTTGTCCAACAACAAATGTCGGCGGAGTTCCATCAGCCTGGGCCATAGTGAGTATCCGGTCTCCGCGTTACTGTTCAGTACCTTAATGCTTGGAGTGATCAATTGCCGTCAAACCCCCTGCCTATCAGACTGGTTAGTAGTTAAGGGCCAAACCCAACAGCTGATAATGCGCAAGTCCAAGTCCAAATCTGAGGCTGGCTGTAGCTAGCTCTAGGACAGATGAAAGCACAGGAAGCCAACAACCATGCTCTCACTCCGTGGGACTGATGTCAATATTTTGATATCCCACCCGGCTTTTCAACGGTTTTCAAATTTGGCGTCGTGGGGGGAAAGATAGTTAAAATAGTTTAAATTTTGTGGTGGGCGCCAGACTTGGCAAGTTTGCCGCGGCTCCCTCGGCTTACCTTCCTATCGCGGACCTCCCGCCAAAATTTCTATCTCGGAATATTTTTTTTATCTTTTAAAGACTTCAAGCAGCCAAAACGACGCCAGCTTTGAACGCGGACATCCTGCAGCTCGACGGCGACTCGAGACCAAGAGACCGGGCAGTCACGGCCATTCGTCACCATGGCAGCTCGGAGTGACAGTGAGAATGCGTCTCGCGCCAAAAGACTAAAAACAACGGCAGAATCAGACCCTCGATCGAACCCGTACCTCGCCCATATGTATGAGAATGAGGATGCATCCAGTGGGATAAACGATGAATCGCCTCTCGCAGCTTTCAGAAGACACGAGACAACCGCAGAGATGGCGAATGAGGTTGAGAGCGGCAGTGTGAACCCTTTCACAGGCAAACCGTTTTCCAGCCGATATGTCTCCATACTCAAGACCCGTCGCGACCTCCCAGTCCATCAGCAGAGGTAATGTTTGCCATATCAGCATTCTCCTCCTTTTCAAATACATAATTCTAATATTTAGATAGGAATGAATTCCTCAAGCTCTATCAAGAATCGCAAATTCTTGTTTTCGTTGGCGAAACTGGTTCGGGAAAGACTACACAAATTCCACAATTCGTGCTATACGATGATCTTCCTCAGTTTCGAGGAAAGTTGGTTGCCTGTACCCAACCGCGACGAGTTGCTGCTATGTCAGTTGCCGAGCGTGTTGCAAACGAGATGGATGTTAAGCTTGGAGAAGAGGTTGGATATAGCATTCGATTCGAGGACAAGACTAGCTCCAAAACCATACTCAAGTATATGACGGATGGTATGTTGTTGCGCGAAGCTATGCATGATCACGATCTCAAGCGGTATAGCACCATCATACTTGATGAAGCTCATGAACGTACAATGGCAACGGATGTCCTCATGGGTCTTTTGAAGGAAGTCGTACTGCGTCGTCCAGATATGAAACTTATTATCATGTCTGCTACTTTGGACGCACAGAAGTTCCAACGCTACTTTTCCGATGCGCCATTACTGGCGGTTCCTGGAAGAACCCATCCAGTAGAAATATTCTATACCCCAGAACCAGAGCAGGACTATGTTGAAGCCGCGATCCGCACGGTCTTACAGATTCATGCTACCGAGCCAGAAGGTGACATTCTTTTGTTTTTAACAGGAGAGGAGGAGATCGAAGATGCCGTTCGCAAGATTTCTCTCGAAGTAGACGAGATGATCCGTGAAGTCGATGCTGGACCAATGAAAGTCTATCCCTTGTATGGTTCTCTACCTCCAGCCATGCAACAGCGTATATTCGAGCCCCCACCGCCACCCCGAAAACCCAAAGGAAGGCCCGGAAGGAAATGCATTATATCCACAAACATTGCAGAAACCTCACTTACCATCGACGGTATTGTGTATGTGGTAGATCCAGGATTTTCTAAGCAGAAAGTATACAACCCACGTATTCGTGTGGAGTCTCTGCTTGTATCCCCTATCTCAAAGGCCTCGGCTCAACAACGTGCTGGTCGTGCTGGTCGTACCCGACCTGGGAAATGTTTCCGTCTCTATACCGAAGGGGCTTTCAAAAAGGAACTTATCGAGCAAACGTATCCCGAAATTCTTCGCTCAAATTTATCTTCTACAGTTCTGGATTTAAAGAAGCTTGGTATCGACGACTTGGTTCACTTTGATCTCATGGATCCTCCAGCTCCTGAAACCCTGATGCGAGCCTTAGAAGAGCTTAACTACTTGGCATGTCTAGATGACGATGGAAACCTCACTGCTCTTGGTCGATTGGCCTCCGAGTTTCCTTTGGACCCTGCCCTGGCTGTGATGCTGATAAGCTCTCCAGAGTTCTACTGCTCTAATGAAATCCTATCTATTACTTCCCTGCTCTCAGTGCCCCAAATCTTTGTTCGCCCTGTTGCACAGCGGAAGCGTGCAGATGAAATGAAGGCGCTATTTTCCCATCCAGATGGTGATCATCTTACTCTACTTAATGCCTATCATGCATTCAAGGGGCCGGAAGCACAAGCTAACCCTCGTCAATGGTGCCATGACCATTTCCTCTCCCTACGATCTCTGCAGTCCGCCGATAACGTCCGACTACAGCTTCAGCGTATAATGGAGCGGGAGGAAATTGAATTAGTCTCTACCCCATTTGAAGATAAGAAATATTATGAAAATATCCGCCGCGCGCTTGTAGCTGGATTTTTCATGCAGGTTGCCAAGAAAGAGAGTCAAGGGAAAAACTTGTATCGCACTGTCAAGGATAACAATGAGCCAGTTTTATTGCATCCTAGCACAGTTTTGGGATATGAGGCTGAGTGGGTCTTGTACAATGAGTTTGTCTTGACTACAAAGAGCTTTATTAGAACTGTCACCGCAGTTAAGGGGGAATGGCTCTTGGTAAGTCGCTTACTGATAATGCTTTTCATATACTTTTCTTTGCGTTAGTTTCCTAGCTTTCTAACATATTTACTATAGGACATTTCTCCTGCGTACTATGATATCTCTAGTTTCCCGAAAGGAGAAATTCGATCCGCATTGATTCGAGCTGGCGAAAGGTTATCTCGAAAGGAAAAGATGCGATCTGATGCGAGCAAGAAAAGATGAATTTAGCCGAGGCCACCATTACGACTTTAGACAGGCAGAGAATTAACTAGTATCTTTTATGATACGGTTGGTTTACTTTGTCTGTAGCTTATAAAGGGTTTGCCACAGCCTACGAGCTATTAATGATATCACAAGTGTTAGACTCGGATAGGCGACCTTTATAGCGGCTTATAGAATGTGATTGTGTATTTGTCACTTTCTACAAGAGTCTCTATCTGCTATCAAGGCACTAAAGCGGCTCTATTCACTTGTATCCACAAGGACAAAAAAAGTTATAGAATTCCAAGAGTCCTTAGACGGGTACAGATATTCTGCAATGCATGCTAATGTTTAACAATAACCTATAAAAGCAAGCTGGGATGTAAGGTTGTCATATCGCCTTGTGCTAGGCCTTTATTGAATCTATAATACATAACGCCAGGGATGTTCATCAACACCTGACAAGCGGACCTAGACGATAATAGTACATATAACCAAGTTCGAGAGCGTAGGTCATCGCAAATATTCCAACATAGACCACATAAAATATATGAACAAGATTATGCCAATATGCCTCGAAGATTGGTTAGGTTAGAGGGTAAAGGAGATGAAGGAGGTGAAGGCAGTGTGAGGATGGATGAATGATTTTAGGGATGGCATAACGCTCAATTAGACGGGAAAGATTGGTAGGATTTGCGAATGTTTGAAAAGGGGTATTTATTGATTGTTGAGACCTTTTTTATTTGGGGGGAAACTTTCGTTGGAGGTCTCTGTAATTCAATGGCGGCAGAGGAGACAGCTGAATGAGGTTTTGCAGCAGTAAACTTAGAAGATATAGATGGTTCCTGAGTTGTCGTATCCGCCTTTGGAAACTGGTGAGACATCATTGTCTGTATCATGTCCAGCTGTGATTTTAGAGTAGCCATTTCTGCTTTTCGCGTTTGGCGTTCAATCTCCAATGCAATGTCACGGATGGCTATATCCAAAGAGTGAACTTCCTCCCGGATGGATTCCGCCTGGCTTGGCTTAGATAGCTTGAGATGTAAATCCCTCATATGTCGCATATGACTCTCCTTGTCCATTTCAAATTTCAAATCACGGATGACCAATTCAGAGCTTCGAATGTCGTACGCAAGCTGGTCGTACCTCCGGTGGTATGACGCATTTCGGTCCTGTGTTATTGATACGGCTTGCTGGATGGCTCCTCTAACGCTATTTGCAAAGGCTCTGTGTCTCTCATCAATAGATAATTGGGAAACCGGAAGTTTGGGAAGTTCCGCAGCTGCGCGCCACCGCTCCAAAGTGGACAAAATGACGATTCTCTCATCGGTAGAATTGTAGGCATCTTGCCAATCAATACCATGGGCGGCAGCAGCTTTTAGAATGGAGTTCCCCAGTCTGTCTTTTCCACAAGAATTGCAGAAGGCGGCCATGTATAATATCAGTCGTTCAAACTGACCCTCATTATCCGCCACAGTGGAAGATATATAATCTACCACTCTCAAGAGAAGCAAACCACCGCTTTCCCAGTCCTGCTGTTGTGTATAATATCGTAGATAAGATCCTAGTATGTGCGGATTGTCTGAATATCCACGATGTCTCATGACGGCTAACCAGGCATCTGCCCTCTGCGGCTGGTTAAAACCAAGAGCGGAAGATATAAGTGTGCTCAAAATTGCATGGTCGCTGCCCCTTGGTGGTACTGGAATTTCGATGTTGCCGACCTTGGTGAGTTTCCAATACTGCGGTAAACGTAGCAATTTTCCTCCGAGCAACCTGTTTAAGAAACCATCAAACCTATACAAATCTTTAGATTTGTTGAAGAAGTCCAGGGTAGCGATAATCACTCCTTCTCCAAGAATGAGGCCATTCGGGAATATCGAGTCAATTATCATGTTCACCACATCGTTTTGCCTCGACCGACCAAACATCCTTATCATTAGAGACACGGAAAGCCGTGATAATGGCTCTTCCGACGATAAGATATTCTCCGCAACTTTGACAAGCAGATCTCGAGACGTCAATTCGTCATCTTGGTACATGGTATACATCCGCTTCAAATCTTCATTCAAAGCAGCCCTCTCTGCGATTAGATTCTCATGCTCCACTATTGTGATATTCCTGGCAAGATCGCCGAACCATGCATCCCGAGAACTTCGGAGTTTAGCTATTCTAACCCGGATATCTTCGAGTTCTTCCAGAAGCTTTTCTATTTCGATATCCGGGAGGATGCAAGATGTCCGAGAAGTAAACGGCACGCCAGCATACAAGTGAGCTAGAGCAGGCCGTAGGATCATCTTAATCGCTAGTTGTCTTGCAGCTAATCGGAGAATCGCCCGTTGCCGTAGAATATCCTTAAGTGAGAGGTCGCTTTCATATCGTTCTATTTCGGCCTCAGACCTGGGGTCCACGTCCAGATCGTAATTCGTTAGCTCGCGGGGGTGTGATTGTATCTGGAGGGTTGCTGAGTTCTCCGTTCCTGGATTGATGTATTCCACATCAAGCGCTTCTACTTCTGAGTTTCGAGATTGAGCTCCGACAGCCTGGGTCGATAATCCACGGTATGTGCGCCGAAATGTGTCCGGCCTTGTAGATGTACTGTATCCCCTCCGTTGTTGTGATGGAGTTGACGTCCGAGTCCTCTTCCTTGATGCTAGAGCTTCTAATCGACGGAGTTGATCAAGCTCCAGCGCTTCAACCTCTGCTTTCACAGCTTCAATTTCTTGTTGTCTCTCGATCCTTCTTCTTGTCTTGACGCTAGTATCCCATGCAACAGCAGTAGCAAATAAAGTGGCATAAAATCCGGTAACGCTATTCCCAATTAACAGCCGCCTTCGACTTGCCGCAGATACGGTTCGGTTAGATGCAGCATTTGAGGTAGAGCTCTTCAAGCAAGAGCCACATCGGCAGGTATAGGCCTGTATCTGGGCCCGTGGCCAAAATGTCTGCATCATGCGGAATATGGACGGGGCATCGGAGGGCGGCGATTGGGGGTGGGAGAAGGACACTCGTGTGCTGTATCCTATATCAAAGATGGTCCCTGGCGCATGACAGTGAGGGAGTCCATGCTGTAGGCGTCAATTGCGGGCGTTCGGGGTGACGGTATGGCATGAGTTGCTGATATCAACGACCAAAGCCCTCCATGGACATATTTCTTCGTGCTAGGCAAAATTGACTTTTGGAGTATTACATAAGCAATGAGATAGGGCTAGTGCAAACAATGCAAACAAGCTCAAGTTCGCGCTGAAGTGTAACGTATGCCGTCTCTATCAGATCTACGGAGTACAAAGGGATATATATGCCAGTGGAGGATACATCCCACTATTCAGCAACAATTGAAGGGCTCGCAGTGTCGAAAGGCATACCATATCTCACTATGATTAGCCCACGGAGTATTTTATTAGCCCTTCTGGCGTTCTCTCCCTCTATCCACGCCCACGGGTCCCACGGCGATAACCAAGATCGCTCCAACCTCGACTGGGCAACCCTCCATATGATGGGTACGTTTATTATAACATCGAGTCCAACCAGCAGTTTCGTGGCTGAATGCTCTTTTGCTTTTTGTAAAATATTTGGCACGAGTGTGTCTCTGACAAGTAAGAACTGTTATAGAGGAGCACCACATCACATCATTCGACGCCAGATCCTTCTTTTCACTACACGACTATGATAACTCCGGGGTATGGACAACAGACGAAGTCCGACGAACGTATGGTCTGGATGATGAATCGAATGCGGCATTAACCGAAGAACGAAAACAACAAATACTTCGAGAGGTTTTTAATATCTTCGACCCTCTAAAGACAGGTGTGATTTCAGCCAACGACTATGTGCGTCTCACACAGCAAGGCAAGAAGCTGCCTGATTTTGGAACTGGACCCGGACACCATGGCGACATGGAGTACGAATATGAGATTCATCATTTTGAGAAGTACCATGGAGATGATGCGAAAGAGGAAGATTTGACCCATCCAGAGGATATCGAACACTTTAGAAAGCACGACAGGGAGTATGCCGAAAGCCTCAGATTAGAGAAGCTTGAAAGCATGGATATTGTGCTTGCCAACATTCCTGCCAAATTTTTGAAAAGTCCAAGCGCGTAAGCTTTCTTGTTCAAATTGTTAGGCTGATGCGTCTGAATGAATAGAATGCTGTATGATTCCATTTAGCATGTTTAATAGATTTCTAATGCCAGTGTATATACCATACTACTCGCCAGTATTCTTCCCAGTAAAAACTTGGCTAAGTAATTTCACCCTGTGTTCTCACGGTCAAAAATCTGTGAAGGTTGGATATTCAGGTCGAAAACGCAGTGCATCACACCTGGAGCATAACTCTTGACCTCCTCAACATGCACACACTCTACCTCGCTCGAGGCATGACCATCTATAAGATTTTTCTTGGACTGTATTCTTTGAAACTCTGCAACAATTGCAGCCCGCTTCTCATGTATTTCGTGAACATTGACGTTTTCATGAACATGAACCCAACCACCCATCTCTGGATCTATCAAAGATATGGCAGTACCCCAAGTATCTTTGGAACTTGGTAAGAGGCCCAGGTTAGCATGTCGTATTGGCTTCCAAGCGCCCCTTGCCTCCATCTTGGCCTTGATGCCTTGCATAACACCAGCAGCGAAGGTGTTATCACCGTGGAAGGCAACAACTCGCAGGTTGTCATCTTCCACCATCTCAATCAAGTCATCAATCCCATCAACCATCCCTTCATTGTTCATCTTCAGTATCTTTATCCCCCATTTATTTGCTTCACATCCTCTCCGCAGGCCTTCAATGGACCAGCCGTTAAGCTCCCAAGCCCAAACCCTGGCAACACCCATTTTCAAATAAGAAAATACAAAATAGCCTATTCCAGCGTACAGATCTATCACGGAAATTTTTTGAACAGGTTGACACAGTTGCTGTTCGTTCAAGCCATCAAAACTTGATTCTAGTCCGAGAATTCTAGCCTTCTCCACGATATTCCCACGGCTAAACATTGTGTACAATGGAGCCCAAACTTGGGTTATCTTGGAGTTTTGCACAGTCTTCACCCAAAATGCCTGCTGAAGATCTGTCTCTGATGGGTCTATATTTTGATCTGTTGAGGGTATCATTGGGCCAAAATCTCCGTATAAAGGGATGAGATCAGTCGGGCCTCGTACTTTATTCTCTTTTCCAATACGAGTAGTAAGTGAAATAGGAGCATTGACTGCTACATGAGTTATGCCCATTGGCGAAAAAACCTCCACTATGCAGGCGTATAACTCTTGCAGTTGGGCATCGGTTAAAAGGGAAATGAACGATTCCCATTGAGGGCTCTTGTTGAAAAAGTTTGGAGGGAGAAGAAGAAGGGGTTCGTATATAGTAAATCTTTTACTGACAGAAGACAGTAAACCGTCCAGATCAATATGGTTGTCCAGCATGAATGAAGGCTCAAGATGATTGTCAATAAAGAGTTTAACCGCACGCTGAACCGAAGGGTTTACAGCCTTCTTTCTTGGCCTTCTATCAGTATTTTGCAGTCTTGCATTGTGCATTCTCGAATATGTACTGCGTATACTCCGTCCGATTAACACCTTGTCAGACTCAGCCAGATCATGACGGATAGTCGTCGATCAGCCTCGAGATGGTTGAAAATCCACAACCAATCACGTGATGGTTCATTGAGCTCGAAGCTTAATATTCTTGTTTTGATATCAGTTTTAACCACAGACGAAGACAACGAAGCAACGATGAATATCTGAAATAACGCTGCTAGAGGGACATTCTCTTATTTTAAAATAAATTAAATCTTCTGCCAAGGATAAAGGTCGTCTTGCACGAGCTGTAACTAAGCTGCTAACTAGGGTCGATCTCCACATTTATTCATGGCGTGTCAACTCCAGACAGAGCGGTATTGAGCCATCAGGTTGCCCCTAGACAAAGACGATCTTTCTGAAAAACGACGTTATGTGGAAGCTTGCTTTGTCTGGTGAATTCCAAGCACCCAAGATCTGATCTGGATAGGTCTCTTTCGAAGTCACAGTGCGGAAAAAGTTCATACGCCATTTCGAGCCCTGTGGAGTGTCCACGTTAAAGAGAGCAAGAGGGATCTGTACGTTTGAAGTCCACTTCCCTTGGGTTTGAGCAAGCGATGTCTTCGAGGTGATTCCGTCTGCTATGGGGTTGCTGATGAAGGCGTGGTCGAATGGAGCACCGTCTGTTCGGTTTTTGGATGGGTTGTAGACAAAAGCCTGGTATGTGACATTGTTGGGGCTGACTTCAAATTCAAGATATGTTGAAGGATCGGCATGGCCGGTAGAGATAAAGGCTTCCATCACTTCATATTTCCAGATATCATCGTTTATCTTTTGCGAAGGGTCGAAGTAGAAATACTTTTCGTCCTTTGCCTCAAACTTCAAGCTGAGTGTCTTGCTGTTATAGCAAAGCCTAATGGTTGTCTGTGGGAAGGGTTTCTGGTCAGGAACAGTCTTGTCGAAATTAATCACAGCATTCCAGGGACACATGGGAACCTGGACGACAGGGTCATGGGCTACCGCACAGCCGACAGCTGTAGCAACCGCAAGGACAGAGTGAAGGCGCATTTTCTAGAGATGTCTGGATATGTCAACTCTGTATGAAAGGATCTAGAGGGAGGAAGCGCGGGACAATATTTTCAACCAACAACTCCGGGCTACATGGGAGGGCGCATACACTTTATAGCAGCTGCCATGGGTACATATCTCTCTTGCAGCTCTGGACAGCAGTGACAAAGCGGGAAACGTGTATTATCATCCCTGCGGAATTATAGCACCTGCAGGCAAAGCTGTCACTAGCTTCTTGAACGGAATGAAAACAGCTATTAGCATTCCCCTGCGGTGGAATGTAACACTCCAATAGGGCCCAGGTATGGCGATTGGTTGTCCCCTTGTTCCTTGATCGAGTCCAGCCGTCCTGGACCCTAGAAGCTCATTACCACGGTGCCAGCGACATGTTTTCACCATGGCTTCGATTGGTGAACATGTGGAACATTAATCCTCGACGTTGCACTGTGGGATGCATCACGCGCGTGGCAGCAGGCCGACCCACTGCCATCCTCCAGCTACTCGTATTGTGAACGGCAAAGGAGCGAGATTTGACCTGGAAAGGGTATCAGGATGGAGGAATAATATTGCCTGGCCTGGGGACGCCCGAACGTTGGGACTCCATCGGCCATCGGGCACAAGGCCGAGTTTGGGTGGAGTGCATACAGGTACTCCGGTCATATATATAACTTTGGGAGGCCGCTGCTCGGTAAGTATTTGCCTTCATAATACTGAGCTTGTCTTGCATTAACTAACTACTTCACCTTGTATTAAGCTGGTTAACTAACTAACTTGTTATTTTTTGCCTTTGGGAAGGAAAATAAATGAACGCTCCCGAGCAGGCAGTCAACCGCCCACAGAGCGTGGCACGAGTCGGGGAGCACATAAGCAGTTGAGTCACTATGAATAACTCTTACTTATCTCTATTTATGCATCAAAATACAAATTGCATGTCGTCGGCCGACTCGAGCTTCTTTATACAAACACAGGGCTTGGTATTGATCGCTGCACAACGTGCATTCAAGGTATTTCGCCAGGGCCCGGGAAAGTCCAGTAACCATATTGGATGCAAGATCCAGATGAAGACGATGAAAAAGCGCCTCTCCATCAAAAAACATGGATCATCTATCAGGCAGCAATTAGTTATGAGTGGCTGATCGTTTGACGTTGGCTCGTAAAATGACGATCTTCCAGCTCGCCAGAGCCATCTCACCCGTCTCTGCCCAATCATAGACATTGAATGATGAGAGATTGACGATAAATACGATATCCAAAAGAGGGACTATAAATAGTCCAAGTATATATACCTTAACTGTCCCTCAGCCTCATTATCTCTTGGGAAACAGTGACCCCAACCCCCCCTTCCCAAGCAGAACCACTCTCCGACATTTCCCTAGCTAAGTCAAAGACAGCTTTTTCAAATATGAAGCCTCTTTTCGCCGCACTTTTACTCTTGCCTACACCCATATTTGCAGCTGTGGGTGGTAGATGCTACGGAGAATGGAACACAGATCGCTGTATTTGCTTGGATCATAACGTCTGCACCAACACTTATCATGGGTGGGCGTACCAGGGAACTCCGGAGACAAAGAACTGGGCCTGTCCCTTTGATGGAAATAACGTGTGGGGATGTGAGATCTCTCCCTGTCCAGGCAAGGGAAGGACTGCAGTATGCAAATGGAAAAACGAGTGCATAGGAACCGTACTTCCTGGTAGGTCGAATATCCAGATTCTTGATGTCCTGTACGAGACACCTAACATATTCTAGATCCGGTTTGTCCTGGCGGCGGCGACTTTGTGTGCTGTCAAAATGCCTGAAGTATTCCTTTACTGCTTGACCTTGGAGCAATGACTTCTTTACCTGAATGAGATAGCTGGAAGTGTGCTGTGATGTCATGTATAGGGTGTTGGATTGATAGGGTGTTGGATTGTTTATATATATCAATATACATGCCTGACCCAGTCTTTGAATGACTATGATGCGTTTCGTGTCTCATAAGTTATCCTTTCTGATTTCCTAAACCGAGATTTACTCAAGAAGTTCCCGCCTCTATTTATACCCTTATGTTCTATTCCATCCCACAGTTTTAAATGCGGATGTTGCTCCTTGGAAGACTGGGTAGGCACATCCAGACTAATAAACAGAGTATCAATACTCCTAGTATGAACGGCTGCAGAACCTCGACTCCTTTTGCCTGGGCGATGGCACCAACAGCAAAAGGCAACGTACTTGCTCCTGAGGCACCCATGGCCGAAGTGAAGCCAATTGCAGCAACGTGGAGGTTTCTTGGTAGTAGTTTCGTTGCTGCAACAACACCTGCTGGGAACAAAGGCCCAAGGAAGAAACCCATAAATGCAACAGCGATAGCAGAAGCATAGAAGTTAGGGACAAGCCAGAATACCAGGTCCAGGCCAATACAACATCCAAGGTAGAACACGACGGCGTGTTTTTCTGTTTTGAAACATCTAGGGGTAACAAACCCTAGGATCATCCGACCTAGTGTAATCCCCAGCCAGAAGCCTGTAGCAGTGACTCCAGAGTCAAAGGGTGAACCATGCCGGACATTTATCATGAAGGTTACAATCCAACCTCCCAATCCGACCTCTGCTCCGGCGTAAATTGCAAGGAAGATACTGCATATCCAGGTTACCCGGTTACTCAACGCTTCTGCCATCCTGGTCTTGCCCAACAGCTTAACCATAAGCTTGTTTGCCCGTACCGGGGGTGTGTAGGCATTGATGTTGTTTCCATGACCTTCAACTTCATCGTATGAGTCTCTGTGAGCCTCTCGATATCTAGATCCGGTTGCACTCCAGAATGCCGGGAGGGAAAAGGCGAGAGACAAAAAGGAGGCTCCGGCGAGCAAATAGTAAAACTCGTACCATTCCCATCCGGCCTTGGTAATAAGAGCAGTTGCAATGAGAGGAGCAAGCATTCCTCCTAGACCATAGAAGCCATGGAGTAGACCGAGGAGTTCATTTGCATTTGCCATGCCACCTATCCATGCATTCCAAGCTGCATCTGCAATTCCGTTGCCGAAACCAGCAAAGATGAAGGCAACGATAAGAGCCGGATATGGTGGATGAAGACAGACAGCAACATAAGCCAGTATATGTGAACATGGTCCCAGGAAAGCAATACCACGCTGACCCAACTTCATATGGATCATGTTGCTGAATGTCGCTGCTGCTGCATAGCCACCCAAAGGCGACAAGAAGATCAGAGAGACGACTGTATATGAGATGTTGTAATGTTTTTCAATCTAGATGTTTCGGTCAGCTCAACGCCGGGAAGCAGTTAGGGGTAGTTAATACATACATATGGTATCACAGCCTGGATGATATCAAAAGAAAAGGGTCAGTTAGTTATTTGTCAACCACCTTGGCTGTTTCTCGACAATGACGAAGCTCACCCCATATGCTGCATCATTGGCACCGAGGATGATGAAGGTATAGTTCGCCGCTGCGAACCTCCACAGGTTGATAGCCGGCTTGTTCCATTTCGGCAGATTCGAGTGAGATGAATTGATCGAAGCAGCACCTCTATTCTCCTCGTCAACTAGCAGTATCGAAACTATAAGCACTGGCCTACCTGGTGGGTTGGCTAGATGGCTAATGGCTAATTCATACCTTCTCTCATCTCCGGCTGGGGAGGAGGCGAGTCGATGCAGCCCTGGCTGAGGGTCGTCAGCGGGACGCTCATCTTGCCCACCAGCTGCCCGAGTTGCTTTGTTCTGGATAACCGACTATACAGCTAACTAGTTATACGTAATGTCCTACGGCGGGAGAGGACTCGTATTAAGAGGACAATGAGGATGATAACGTTGACAGGATGGCGAGAAGACGCAGCCTATATATATATGGGGACTTCATAAGCCTAGTTACGGCCAACTTGGAACTCGATCTGCCGGGAGTCCAGCACTCGGCGGGAAGCTGGTTGACCTGGCTGGGTCGACGGATAGCCCGTCCCGCATGGAGCACCGCAGCTGGAGGATTCGTGGTTTACCTCAGTGGAGCCAGGAGGCCCATAAATCGATGGATTTTGAGAAAGCCGGTGAACCCTGGACTGGCCCTCCTTCTGCGGGTGCCGGGGTTAGTTGCGCCCTTGTCTCCGGCAGCGAAGGAGAGCCGTTCTTTGGTGGCCGGAAACCCGGAATACGGCAGATAAGAATACGATGAACGCTTGGGAGCGATCTGATGGTTCTCTTTTGCGTCATTGCGAGCTCTAGGCCAAAAGATACGGAGTGATGGTCGTGGTGCCTCCGGGCTTGGTATACGGTTCGCCCCCTTTCACGCATGACTTTATATCTACCTAGGTATGATCTCCGTTGTGGGTTGACTGGACAAACATGTTCCCTGCAGGGAAGGGAAGACGAAATTGGGTAGGATGATCTTCGTGCGGAGAGATAGGCAGACGAATGCATACATTTGAGTACCGGGGGCACACTGCTTTAGCCATGCAGCAGTAGTTATTGAGTAGAAGAACAGCAAGGAATTAAGTAGACAGACATCCATAACACCCTCACGATAAAACGCCCTTGCAAGCAACAAATAAAAAACACAGATGCAATTCGCTCGTGAGAAGGGAAACGAGTGAGCTGCCTTGAGACAAATGCCAGACACCAAAATAAATGATAAAAAGACGAAGAGAAACGATTTTAAAACGTCAAGATGGAGAGAGATAAGCATGATTGACATGATTCACCCGCTGCAGTACCCGCAAGCCCACCAGCAACCCATCGCTAGTGGTTTTACTTATCTTCAGTTACTTTTTCCTTCTCATTGGACGCTGCCATATTTCAGTCTGGCTAGGTCAGTAATCAGCTGCTGACGATCCCAGTCTCTCGCTGGAGTCGAGGACGCTAGAAACGTAATCAAATCAGCGGGCCTGGCCATAAATCGACAGAATATCAAACAGAGAAAATGTGTTTCAAAAAGTAAGGGGAAGCTAGACTTACGAATACTGTTTAGTCAGTGTACCCTCGCCGCCTTTCGAAAGATCGATGTTGAAGACGTAGAAGACACCATCACTCGTCACCACCATCACCTGGGGCGTATTGCTACTCATTGCAACAACACTTCTCACAGGCCCGGACCGTGCCTGCGCATTTGCAGTATGCTTGGGCAGTTTGATCCAGGCGAAATCGCGTGCTGGCTCCCACATCTCCGTCACACCTTTAGGTAGGTATCCGCCTACCGTGGCAGCAACTGAGGTTCCGAGTGTCTGTGAAGTGCGTCTTATTAACCCCATGAACGTACCATCGTGTTTGCGTCCTAGGAATCCATCCATCTCCGGCCCTTTACTACCGGAAGTTTCACGCGGACGGTTTCCTGGTGGTGAACTGCTCGCGCTTCCAGTTGAACCGGGAGAGCCGGTTGCTGTTCCTTGGTGGCCCAGTTTGAAGATATGCACTGTCTCCGTAGCAGATGAGACACAGAGCAGGGTAGATGTAGTGTTGAATGACATGCTATAAATCGTCGATGGCATCGATCCTCTGCGAAATTGATACAGCTTATGGCCGTCAGGGACTGAAAAGACACGAAGAATTGTGCCCTTGTCGGATGCGGTAGCAAGCATGGTGCCATCATTGTTCAATGAGATACACGACAGTGGTGATCGATGCGCTTCTATAACATTGATGGCTTCAAGCTTTTGGGCGTCGAAAATCAACACCTCTCCATTCGTAGGAGCAATGTGTGAATTCCCTGGAGGAGTGTGGGTAGGAGCAGTGAATGATGGAGGAGGAGCCTTTTGCGGAAGCGGATAGGCAAGATAGCAATTATCGGACGATGGAGACAGAGCGCAAATAGCTAGATAATATATGTATTAGCCTGGGTGCGCGAGTTAACCAGGAAAAGACGTCTTAGATATATGTAGTCTTACCGTTTGGATTTGGTGATGTTTCAATCGTGTACAGCAGTTTCATCGTCTGGATATCATAGACGTAGATCTGGTCCTCCAGTACGATAACTAGGCGCTTTCTATTGAGGCGCACAGCGAGCACAGTTGTAGGGAAAGTCAGTTCACAAATAATCGATTGTCTCTAAAAGATTCAGGCAACCGTTAGCTATTCTATCAGGTAGAAGGTATCACGACTCTGCTTCTCCAAATGAATTACCCACTCACCTTTGTATTCGTGATTTGAAGCCGACGAGGAGAGAGAATCAATGCGACAAGCGAAGTGGAAAATAGCATCTCCAGCATGGCGATATTTCCTTCTTTTGTCTCATAGCTCTTCACGAAGGGGTCGGTCGAAAATATGCGAAAGCCTTTCGCGGTGCCTGCACAAGTCCGCACTGGTTAAAAGATGTTTCCAGTACGAAAGGCCATCCATGTGAAGAGTCATACCGACAGCTAGGTAGCTGTAGTCCTGGTTAAATGTTACAAAATTCATCGCCATGATGCGCCAAGTTGTCGCGTAGAGAGCGGAGTCGAAAATGCAGACAAGACGGTATGACTGGAGAGTTACTCAGGCAGCTCAATGTCACAGATAGCGAGGATAACTTCAAAACTCCGCAAGTCGTTTCTATCTGTGGGGGGAGGTCGAGGGTAGGTCTCCAAGTCTCCGGGCGTCTGGAGTGTTGCGTCAAGCGTCCGAGGTGGCAGGCATTATCCAAGAGTAGGTCGAACGGTGCGGCCAGAGACACAAAAGATGGTACCGAGGTGGCCAGTAGGTGGCGGAGGCAAGGAGGCAATATTGTTGTGCTGTTGGAGGCGTGCTGAATGTTCCGCCGAATGTTGAAATGGCGACTCTGGCAAATATAACGAGTTGATGTTTTGAGCAAACATCGCCAACGAGAGGAAAAGTGACGGAAGTCATACGCAGGTGCAGGGTGGCTTGGCCGAAAGCGGCTTAGCGCCCATCATATGACGCACGGGAAGATGCACAGATCATTTTTGAGGCTTATATCATGTGACTCTTATCGATAAGCTAAAATTATTTTTTATCAAGGCTTGGCATATTTTTCCGCTCCTGTCTCTTCGTTTGGCCCTGACCAACCGGGCTCATGGTTTACCATAACACAGACTGTGTTGACGCGCAGCTGCAGAGTGTCGGGATTTTATGAAAAGAGCAAAGTAGTGTTATGACGATGAGCAAAACCAACGAGCTCCAGACGGAGAAAGAAGCGGGCATGGTGATGGGGGTGAGCGTTTTTGTTCTATTTGCCTTCTTTTTTTTCCATTCTTTATATTTTGCTAAGACTTTATTCCAGACGAATGGAAGTAGTATCGTTTCCAAGCGTAGCGTTGAGCGGATATACTACAAGGAACCTCACTTCTTTCGGCATTTCGTCAAGTCCTCCCCCCGCAGAGCGCCCTTGATAAACCGGGGGTATTGGTTGCGAATGTATGCTATTGAGCATACGGTCATAGAGTTCCTCAAAGAGGCGACAGGACGTCCAAAACTAGTCATTAATTTTGGATGTGGATTGTAAGTTTGTAACTTCCAGCATCTCGGATATTGACTGAAAGAACTTCATTCACACACTCACTCTTCTAATTTGTTTTGTATAGTGACCCATTAGTTTTTCAACTACTTTCTCAAAATCCAAGTCTATGTGAAGATACTATATTTGTTGAGATTGATCACCACAAAATGATGTTGGAAAAATGGGAAGCCATACAAAGCAGCCCCGAACTTAAGGAGCTTATACCCGACGCAGTTTCATCAAGTGAGGATGGTCCTGTTATCCGCGCCAAACAGTATATTGGAATTGGGTGTGATCTTGGAAATCTTTCAGAATTGGAACAAACGCTAAAATCCGAAGTGGACACATCCAAATGCTCCATACTGTGCACTGCTGAGGTAGCTTTAACTTATATGGCAGTCAAGGCCGCTGATGCACTAATATCATGGGCTGCGAGACTGAGTGATGGTCAGCCCTTATTTTCCTCTTACATTCTTATACGAGGCTGGGTTGATTGAAGAGTATTTGCTAACCAACTCATCATCAGATACCCAATTCGGGTTGTTGGAGCAGTTCTTCCCAGACGGCCCTGATCATCCCTTTGCAAGAACCATGATAGCGCATTTCACTAAATGGCGTGCACCGCTTCAATCAATTCACATATATCCCGCATTAGCCCAGCAGGAGCAGCGATTCCTCAAAGTAGGCTGGAAGCAAGCAAGAGCTAGAAGCTTGTGGGAAGCCTGGAGTGACCCCAGTTTCATAACTGCTGGAACACGTGCATCTCTCGACCAGTTTGAAGCCTTTGATGAGTGGGAAGAGATTGCTCTGTTTGCTTCACACTATTTTTTGCTCAGAGCTAGTACGCGGGCGACAAAAAGCAATAGCAATGACGAAGCGATCGTTAATACAACTACAGAACTGTTAGATACTCAACCCCGGATGACTGCTAACTTTAAAGCAGGTCCAACCCATCACAGGCGATTTGGGGCCTTATTTTCTTTTGGTGACCAGATTGGTTTTCATGCGGGGTTGGGACAACAAGCTCGACTTTCGTCTACAGATACATATGTGCAATCGGATGCCGCGTATGCCCACGTAAAATGTGTACCACGAGAGTCGCTCCCAGCACGGATATGCCATACCATAACGCAGGTGTCGAATAACAGATGGCTATTAGTTGGAGGCAGAACCGCGCCGTCAAAGGCCTTAAATGATACCTGGTTAATGGAAGGGGATAGGTGGCGACAATCGTGTCCTGTTCCAACTGCAACCTTTCGACACTCGGCAACTGCTGTTATACTTCCTAGTGGCGAAGAAGGCGTCCTTGTTTACGGCGGAAAAACATCGAATGGAACCGTTAGCGGGGAATTTTCCTTGTGGAGAAACAACAGCGGCATAGAAACTTGGACAGTACTATCGAAAAATGGTAGCTCTTGCATGCCGCGCTTCGGATCTGTCTTGTCTAGCATTGGTAAGGGGAGAGGAGTCCTTACTGGAGGAATGTCTCAAGATGGCATAGTGCTGGATGACTTTTGGACATGGGAGATATCCACCGATGATACTGGGGAAATATATATCCGGTTGACAGATGAGAAGGCTCGACTGGAAGTTTCTCATCCACAAATATCCAAATGGGTTAGTCGTTTTGGTTCCACGGCGCATCGACTTGGAGGGAGCCTTGTTCTCATTGGAGGAATTGCTGTTAACGGGTGTATACCGCATGAGTATGAAATCTTAACCCTGGACCTCAGCGTCTTTGAGTACGACGATACCAGTGAACTGTCTGTACCGATAGCCTGGAGATCTCCTGTCTATGCACGGCCGCTTTTGGTTGGCCATAGTTCCATCTTGGTTGGTGGCGGCAGAATCTTGATCGTAGGTGGAGGAGCAGTGTGCTTTGCCTTTGGCACATACTGGAACAATGGCACCTGGGAGTTATCTTCTGGAAGCTCTTATATCAGGGATAATGAATGGCGAATGCTTCGGCCATCGCCAGATCCTCCTATATCCAGAACGATGAGAGATGGCCAACTGTCGAAGCTGGAACATTTCACCGCCAGCACTGGCATCAGGAACTAAAAACTATTATTATCAGAAGAGTTCCTGTTTACTATAAACTAAAGGATTATTCTGCAAGTTAAGATTCAAAGATACCAACGAAAAATCAACGCCAAACATAAAGCGCACCTGAAATACCGTCACAGCGTTAGTTAGGCTGCGGGTAAATCGTTTTGGATAGGCATCGCCTTTCAAGGGAGCGCGCGGGAAGGCACTGGACTCTCCCAAGTTTAACAAAAAAAAAAAAAAAAAAAAAAAAAAAGATCACCTGCTGTTAACTAAGTGACGAGCTAGTTGTACCGTCCAACACGCGCGTCGTTTCCATTCCTAGATGTGTCTCGTCAAGCGACGCCATGATCTTGCATAGCTCGAGAGCAATGTGAGTTGGGCATCAGCGTGCATATACAAGTACCCTATTGGCTTGCTCGAGCACCAGAAAGGGGATCGAAATAGAATGCAGAAGGCTTGTGCTTGGATCAACTCTTCGATCCTAGCGCCGTCCGACTTGACCCCGTGAATTAAGGCAACCCCCGAGAGTGAAGATGGCCTGGACGCTTCACTTAATATCTCTTCTCCACTGTGTCTCCACCAGTGGCATCATGCTGACTATGTATAATGACTTCTTCCACATATACTATCATGCAACTGACCAAGAGCGAAGATGAAGCAGCCAGGAGATGGTAAGAGTTGCGGATGGCGGATCGTCAGAACGGTGTAACCCACACATTCCCTCACCCTCGCGGTTTCCTTCAGTCATACTTTCGCTGGTTAACCGATGGATTGAGGGCGGACGACAATATCCATATTCCTTTTCTTCCCTTGTCCATCCCTGGTGCGAATATGCATTACGAGCGCAGTACATTCTTGTTTTCAGGGTGCAAACACGGAATCAAGGTCGCATCCTTGACCTGTCGCACCTCCGGATGTTCCGCTGCGGTACATCATGGGAAGCCGTTGAACCAGCCAGCTACCTCGCTCCAAGCACACCATGATCGTATTACCTCCTCTTCCTCAACAGTCTCACCCTCGTCCTCCTCGTACACGCTTCATCTTCGCCTCGTTCTCTCCCTCTTTCTACAGCGCAGCCCGAAGCCTCTTTTCTTTTGATATCAACTTTACCTTCTCCGTCCTCTATTTAACCTTTCACGTGATCAGAAGCTTCCATGCATCACGTGCTCCTATTGGTTAATTCAACCTCGAATGCATTCGAAAGCGGACTAGCGGCCCCGTTCCTCTCCACTTTTCCGCGTTCTTTCCAGTTGGACTCAAAACCTTATTGGCTGCTTGTACCGAGTACCTCGCGCTTGCGGGCGGCGGCTAACTAACCGAAGTACCCAGTACCTTGTCTCCATCGATCCCCGCCTCCGACCCTTCTTTTCCACTCCTCCACCATCCACCATCCATATACTACTTCCTCCCGCCCCCTCCCCCATTCGGCTACACCCCAGGGCTATCTTCATCCCCATCCCAGTGGTCTGCACGTCGCTCATATACGCCCCTTATTCTTACCCACCATTGCCCTTCTTTCTCTACCTCGAGATTGCCGCATGCTTACAAGTTGGCGGTGGTTTCGCCTGGTTTGCTTCTTTGCTCTCCAGAGGCTTCAACTGTCGACGGGAATCTAGAGAGGCCCGTCTGACAAACAAGTAAGTCGGCTCATATATACACCGTCTCTATATAAAGAATCTCCATCATTGCGAGATCAAGCGTTTGGCGAGACGTAGCCATGGCAGCCAGAAGTAACCAGCTGCTAACCCTTGTTTCTCTGTTAGGCACTATACCACTCTTTGGATACTGATTCCCCAGCCGTCTATGCTCACAAGCATACGCCATTACCCATCTCAATTTGAGCTTCATTTTATAATTATAAGCCCAACCGCCTTGTCGATACTTCCGTACGCTACAACAACATTGGGTGTCAATCGGGCAGATAATGTAGCTGGCTTGTACTTGGGCCTCGACCTCACACAACAATACATTTAACGGACAAATCCAACTCTTTCTCCCTTCTATCTACAAATAACATCCATCTACCCACGTACAAAAGAAAGGAGCATTGCTCTTTACTGTTATGGCAGCAGCCATACTCCAGCACCATACGGTGCGACAAACCCCTACTCCACCACCAATGGGAACACCAACAATCAGCCTCACCGCGTCATCAACCCGCAGCCAAACTCCAATTCCCAACAAACACTTACCTATTTGCCCTGCTGGACCCGCCCCAGCTAGCTCCAAGCTCCCTGCTGCCTCCTATTCATCTTCCAGCTCATCTTCAAGCAAACAATTCAGTGTTCAGCACCCAACTGCCTTATACCCAGCAGATAACAGATACCATCAGGTGTACAACCACCCACCGGTATTCTCAATCAATGGCAAACAGTTAGCCACTGCTCTCGACGATCTAGCAACAAGACCCCTTCCTGATCCTTCTAAACTGTTCCCATGGCTCCATGGGTTACACCCTGAGAACCAGATTCAACTGTCGTTTTTCGTATCTCGTCGTAGAACTCTACGGCGGATACCAAAATGCCTTAGATCAATAACAGTGGTGAAGGTTGGTGGTGACTTGACGAAGGCTAAGCTTAAGGGTGCCGTTGCTCCTGACGAAATCCTGGCTGGATCCAGTTTCATCGATGCAGACCCCCCCGAAGGCTTCTCAGTCCGGAATTTTCATATTCAGACAGCAAAACTTGCTGCTATATCAGATATTATCGTATACGGAGATGATGACGTGAGCGAGGAAAGCATCTTGGCTGTTGCGGTTGATATTTCTACTGCGCAGGAAGAATGGATGAGGAGATATGATCCTGGTCAAGAGACCAGACTGTTTAACACGTTTGTAGTTTCCAGTAAGTCTTCAGCCACCCATACTTTCAAAAGAACCAGCCCAGAGTTCATCCACAGTAGCTAACCATAGAACAGGTTCCTTTCAAGATATAGAGCACCAGCACCCTGATATAGTAGCCATTAACCAAGATGGGGTCTTGACAGGCCAGGTTATGGACTTTTGTAAGACCTCTCTCTTTTAGACCTAATGTTATCCTTCACACTACTAACAAGCGCTCAGTCCTTTGGGAGCGTCTAGAAATGTACAGCATGTCCCAGGCAACCGAGATAACGAAGAATGTCTGGCAAGGGCCATCCCCAGATTTGAGTTACGACATGGGTGGGCCACCAACTAGTCATTATGACGTTTTCATTGAAACACACGACGGTGCCAGTATACCCGATACGAGATACTTGGCTAAGATATCGTCGCAGCTCCATAAGGGTCCGCATCATATCGAATTTCCATCGTCTGGTAGCATCATGGCATCTTCATGGAGCCAACTCGAAGTTTATGACTTTATTGCTACTTGCAGATGGATATATCAACTTGCCAATCCGCGCAGGAGAAGGTCTCTTTCTGAGAATAAAGACGGTGATATACCAATGAAATCAGCTACTACGAAACCTTACAAAATCTTTATACACTGTGGGGATGGTTATACTGAAAGCTCTCTTCTTGCCCTGGCATATTTCATGTATGCCGAAGGTGCCCCTGTTCATGAAGCCTGGCTAAGGCTACATTGTGAGAAAAAGAGGAATTTCTTCGCCTATCCATCCGACGTCACATTCCTCTTAGAGATTCAACAAAAGTTGCTAAGTGAGAGCCCGAATCCAAGGGCTCGACAACTAACCCATCGACCTAGCCCAAACTGGATGACAAAAATGGATGGCTCTTTGCCCAGTCGAATCTTGCCTTACATGTATCTTGGGAACTTGGCTCATGCCACCAACCCGGAGCTACTTTGGTCCTTGGGGATTCGCAGAATACTAAGCGTTGGGGAACCTCTGTCCTGGATGGCTGAGGATGTTGAAAAATGGGGAGCCGAAAATCTGTTGTATATCAATGAAGTGCAAGATAATGGCATTGACCCTTTGACTCAGGAGCTAGAGAGATGCCTTGCATTTATTGGTATGTTTGCCTCTGGTCTACTTCTCGCATATAATCAGGAGGCCCAACAAACACTAACTTCATGGTCTTAGATGCGGGCAAATTTGAAGGAACGGCGACATTGGTACATTGCCGTGTTGGTGTTTCAAGATCTGCCACTATATGTATCGCTGAGGTCATGAAGACTATGAACCTATCTTTTCCTAGAGCATAGTAAGCTTCACACAATATATTGAATCCAAAAATCATAACTAACTCGTTTACTTAACTAGCTGTTTTGTTCGGGCAAGGAGGCTGAATGTCATTATCCAACCACATCTTCGATTTGTGTAAGTTGAATTTAAAGCTTTTCTAACACCGCTACCGTTTTCTCCCAACAATTCAAGTTGTTTCTTTACTTCATTGTATACTAACAATAAATCCTTTAGATATGAGCTTCTCAAGTGGGATGAGATCCTTCAGCACAGAAGAGGTAACACATTCAAACGAGATCTTGAATGGCCTACCGTGGCGCGTGAAATCGCTCTTATGAACAAACCGTATTCACGGCAATAACTCAAGGCACAGCTCTAATAACCGAGCTACTGACAGATACCATTTTTCTTTCCAGTGCCACCATCCCTTCAACCCTTTACTGGCTGAATCAGCATCTTCCTACTGTACTTCACCTCTAGTTTTCCATTTGCTGATCCATTTTCCTTTGCTCGTTCGAGTCCCTTTAATCTTCTTCATTCTACTCTTTATGAAGCTCACGGGCAACCCCAGTTATCCTTACTGCCTATGACGCATTTTATTACTTTCTGCCTCTACTCTAATTTCTTAACGTCTCTTATGATTCTAATGAGTTATGTTGTATGGAAGCGATGTTAACGGCACGACCTTTCAGTTCCTCTTTCATGTCTTTTCCAATTGATCTCTCTATGTTACCTGAATATGAGCGTATCAGAGGTCCAGACCTTCAATATCGTTTTATACTAGCTTCTATTACCGGCACTATTACAACAATACATACTAAATTCTCAAGCGTTCGGGCTGTTCAACTAATTAGTAGTTATGGAAGCCCGTAGCATAAATGACAATATCTTCTCTCTGGGCGTGCTAGCTTAGGGCGATGGAAGTCATGAATGGAAGTCTATACATTACCTATCTTCTGAGATTTGGCTAACTCTGTAATTAATTATCTAGGATGTCAATATTGAGTTATCGAACCTGTACTCCGAGTCAGTTAACCACCGAACTACCTCAAGTAGTGAAGGCTCACGGCAGAATACGGGACACCACCGGCCGGCTCGTATCAGCAATGCGGCCGAAATATCAACTTCCAAGTTCATAACGGTCCTCAGCACGTTGACTCCTCTGCCTTACATTGGGCTGATATTTCCCTTGCACAAATCGGCCCTGTGTTCCCTCCTTTACTGACAACCTTGCAACATGGCACGCGATTGTTGGTATGTCTTAATCGATATCTGTCAAATAATATGCTGCATAGTCTGCCTACCGGTTCTTATCCCTGTCTATTACATCTATACCTCATTCACGTTCAGGAGATACCAGTGGGCCAGGAGGTTCAAGAAGTACCACAAAACGGATGTGCTGCCTCTGCCCTCTCGTCGGCAACGGGCTCTTTCAATCAACGCTACCCTTGATAGCTCACGCCAGCAGCAATTCCAGAAGCTTCACGCAAACGAGAGTGATCTCAATCAACCATCCTACGGCCAGACGCAGTCTCGGCTGTTTCAACTCCCTGCTGAGCTGAGGCTTATGATATATAACTATGTTGTTGGAAGTCGGAAGATCCATATAGTGCATACCACTAGTCGGCAACTGGCTGCATTTCCGTGTACCCATGATTCAGAGACCGTTTCTAGCGACGAAAATGTCTGCAACTGCGTATCTGAAAATGTTGTGCACGCAAATAAGCAGACAGGTTGCACTTTCGTTGAGGATATTCTGGCCCCGGTAACATGCGAGCGTCCCGGTATTGGCATACTCTCCTTACTTCAGTCATGCCGATTAATGTAAGTCTGTCGCATAACCAGTTATGTCTTTCCCAACTCCGGAAGAAACACACCAACTAACTTAATGCACTGTTGCAGCTATACCGAAGCCATAGAGGTGTTATATGCAAGGCGAACATTTAGTTTCGAACAACCCTACACATTTCTTGCTTTTGCCCATTCGATCCTACCACAGCGTTTCAAGGCCATCACGAGCATTGAGATAGCTCCATGGGACTGGAGTGTCTTCTATGACGATGGCCGTTCACAGTTTTATCGGAAAGCGCAGCGATTTTGGCCACGAACCAGAAACGATAAAGAGCCGCTACCTACCACATGGGAAGTTTCCTGCTATGCTATCGCCAACGAAATGGAAAGCATAAGGGAATTTCGGCTTAGGATATACAGTCAAAAGGTTCGTTGTCGGAGACGAATATCATATTCTAGCCCACACTCGAATTTGCAAGCAGTGACGGAAGTCGTTTGTCGTCCATTGTATCAGGTGGGAAAACTGGAAAGATTTGAAGTCGAGCTGTGCTGGCCCGTAAAATGGGAAATGCCTGAAAATACACCCTTTGAGATAATTGCCCCCAGTTGTGGGAGGCCTTATGTAGATTATTAGTCTCAACAATAAAGAACCATTAGTCTCTTAAGCTACGAAGTCAGTAACATGTGCCCGGTTAATGTAGTTATATTTCATAGCTACTTATAATAAATTAATTTTAGGGTATATGTCACGGCCTGGTAGGACATGCGATGCATAAATAAAAGATAGAAAGTTATTACAAAGATACAGGCCATTAGGTATGATAATTAGAAGGAATGAAAAGACTGAGCAGCCTACACGACGGTACAAGAATCCATCGAGTCAAATAACACGGTGACAAGAGCCGAATCAGGTAGAGAATGAGGATAAATTGGAGCAGTGCGAAAAAGGGTATAGTTGATAAGTGTTCATAATTCATTTTGAGATCATATCATGCTTCGAGCAGGGAGATATGTAAGGCCGTAAAATGGGACAGTATAGGTAGTGACAGTATCATAGAGATAGGAGGCAGAAAGCGAGTTCTCTTTCTGGCAAAATGTAGTAGAAGGGATTGGAGAATAGAGGCACGAGGGAGGATGTTTAAAGGCAATAAGGACACTAGCAGCGTTCAAAAACTCGATAAAGTCCTTTCAGGTCTGCTACTTCGATCACACCTCGAACAAGGTCGTTAGTAGCAACTAACCGTGAGCGTATAGCGGGGAACAGGGTGTGTTCAAGCATCCATGACAACTGCTCTCGTCGACGAGTAACTGATTCATCTTCCGATTCATCTTCGTCATGACTGGAGGACTGATCTGCCTGTGGGCTTTCAGTGGCAGAGACGCCATTTTCTCTTGAGATGTCAGAGACTATGGAGTGTGGGCTACTTTCTCGAGCACCAGGGCCAGGCTGTCTCCCACATCCCCCTTGCGGGGTATTAGATGAATATGGAGTTGGTAGTTGCTCTGGTGTATAAAAGGCTGCAAGTTCCGTCAAGAACGTGCGGAAACAGGCTTCTTCGCCACTCCAGTCCACATATGGGCCTAAACGGAGAAGAAACCGCGGCAGTTTCACAAGAGATGGCATGTATCCTTTCAAAAGCAGAGGTATCGATAATAAGCATCCATCCTCGGATATGGAAAGCGAGAAATATTCCTTTAGCATTTCCCTTCGGTCGATTAAATGCTTGGCCACAGTGGCTGCAACAGAAGCAAAATCGACAACAATGCCTTCGTCTATGCTGCGGCTGGCATCTGACGCGACTGAAGCCGCATCTCCATCTGGTGGATTGTTGCGGTAGTATTCGTCACGCTCCACCTCAACAGCTAGGGAAAGAAGATCCACAAGCTTCGGAGATGACTCGAGATTGATCGATCCAAAGTTTCCGAAGTTTGTAAGTCCGAGTTGGTAGAAGAACTCATTGCACACCATTCCATAATCCACTAGGTATAACTTGACGCCGGACTGTATTGCGGCAACCCGGCGTCGCTCGTCCACGAGGCCGACGTAGGTATTCGAAGAAAATATTTCGGTGAGATTATTGTGCATGGAGGAACGAACAGCTGCACGCAGGTTTTTAACGGAGGTAAGTCGAATGTTAACCGGTTCCCGGTTAACTTTTTGATAAGCGAGGCCTTGGTTGCCGTTTGGCTTGTCTCCAGGGACCGTCTCTGAGCCTGCAGGAGGAAGCATGGATGTTATCTTCCGCAATTTCGCATCTGTCCGAACAAGATTATTTTCATAAGGCCGTTTCGTTCCAGCAACCGTTCGAAGAGCTAATCTTTCACCCTCTGCCCCTGAAGAAGCGTCCCCCGCTAACGTAGCTGGTTCTGGGGGGCGAATTCCGGGGAGAAGCGTTTGTGTCATGAACGTACGGCTTGAGTCTACCGCAGCAAGCTTGGTCCTTATGGCGCTGCAGATGGATTCGATGATTTCATCTTCATTTAGGAAGTTGACTTCTCGCTTTGTGGGATGGACGTTCACATCAAGGCGTTGGGGTTCAATTTCAAGATCAAGGTAGACAAATGGATGTCCACCCTTGGGAAGGAAAGTCGAATAAGTTTGCTCCACGGCTCGTTTGATGGCGGTGGACTCGACAGCACGGTGATTAATGAAAATAAGGAGAGTGGTCTTTTTAGCATGGTAGTTGGCGTTGGTAACCCATGCTGAAGCACGGCACCCCCACCGCTTGCCATCCACCTCGAGGGAGACCAGCTCGTTAGCCACAGCACCACCGTGTAGTTGTCTTATCCGGTCGAGGATCGAGGAGTTTATCGAAGTTGACAAGCTGACGCCAGCTTCGCCGTGCTTCTTGCAGGAAAACGCAGTTCCACTGCAGTGTACAGCATAGCGGCCAACGATGTCAAGGATCTTTGCATACTCTTCACTTGCCGACCTGAATGCACGACGCCTGGTTGGAACGTTATAGAACAAATCTTCTACCTAAACGCCGAGTTAGCATATGCATATATATGGAGAGAGAGAATATAATAAATGGGTTTTCGAGGGAGGTACTAACGGTGATCTGGGTGCCTTTGCGTCCGGCAATGGGCTTGGGGGAGGCATTCTGTCCTGGTTTTGCGGGTACAAGCTTTCCATCACTGTAATGAGCTCTCCAGGCACAGCTTGATCCGGCCGTCTTCGTTGTCACTGTCAAATGGGCAACATGGCTGATGCTTGCCAGGGCCTCACCACGGAACCCGTATGTAGCGATGGAGGAGAGGTCTTCGAAGGCCTGGAGCTTTGACGTCGTGAATCTCTCACACAGAATTGAAAGGTCATCGTGCTAGGAATGCAAGTCAGTTCGTCTGATACAAGAATATAAGCAAAGTTCTCTAGATACTAACGTCGATTCCATGGCCATTATCGGTGATCTGGAGGAGTTTCAGGCCCCCTTCCCTAACCAGGATCTCCACGGAAGTTGAGCCAGCGTCCACCGAGTTCTCAATCAGCTCCTTCAATGCGTGCATAGGAGCCACTATGATCTCCCCAGCCGCAATCTTGTTGATAACGTCCGGATCCAGCGCCTTCCGGCCGTCAGTAAGGTCTGCTCTCCCTCTCCCCCCCCCCGAATCGAAATGTATCACGTGACTCACCTGGATCTTCCTGGGCGTCGCAGCAGCAGCAGCAGCAGCAGAAGCAACAGAAGCGCCGGGAGCACCAGCTAGGGACGAGCTGGCGTTTGTCGTCTCTGCTTCTGCGTCTGTGTCTGGCGCCGGCCGCTTGAGGCCCCGCGGGCCCTGGGACGTCGAGTCAAGGTCCATCCTGTCGCCGTCCATTATCTGTGCAGTCGGGGCGTCGCAGTCTGTTCCCCAGAAGTTGGCGCGACGGGAACGCTGGCGATATATATGAAGTTGGACGAAAGGGCCCGTCAGCCTGGCTAGGGGCGGGCGGGAAGTTGGGCTGGTCGAGGTCTAGGCTTGCACCACGTTCCCCATAGCCAGCGTAAGCAGAACCAGGCGGCAGAGAGCAAAATAAAAACGTAAAAAAAAAAAAAGGCAAAGAGTAAAAAAAAAGAAAAAAGAAAAAGAAAAAGAGCTGCTGCTGCTGCACCCGGCACCGATGAAGCGCAAGAGGGCGCGCAAAAAAGGCTGGGGCAGATCGAGGGGCAAGGCCGAGCACCCAGGCCTGGATCCGTCGCTCCCGTCGATGCTGTGATATGCAGGCGGCAGGGCTCCAGGAAAAGAAAAGCCGAGCCTCGCTGGGAACCTGTCACTTTTCCTGCTTCTCGTCGCCGCCTTTTGGCTGAAGTTTCTTCTACATCTGCATCTTCTGCGTCTTCTTCTGCTTCGTCTTTTCGTCTTTTCGTCTTTTTTACTCTCTTTTTTTTTTTTGCTTTATTTTTGTCTTTTTTTTGCTTTTCTGCGGCTGCAAAAAAAATGATATACTCACGTGACACTGGGTCTCAGACAGTGGATTATGTAAGGAGGTCTGGAACCATCACGTGGTTTTATCGCCGCAAGAACGGAAAAAGGAGACGTCGAGCACGAAAGACCTGCGAGCCAGCAACACCAGGACCGCCGCAGGACACGAGGGAAAGGGACCTGACGGGCGACGGCGGCGGCGGCGGCGGACGGGACGGGGCTGTGGAGGAACCAGCGTTGGCTGGGCAGGGGCTGGACGAGGCCAGAGCGAGCAAGGACCGCGCTTCAGAGCCCGTATGTCCAAGGGGCTTGCTTGGATTAGCGGACCGGCGAGTGTGCATTGCAGTCTTCTGCTCCTGAAGCCACACTGCAGCTGTGAAACCGGTGGTGGCCCAAGGATCCCAGCGGTAAAGGCGGACCGCGATGCAGGGCGCCTTAGGTAGGCAGATTATAGGGACGGCTCTGGGATCGACGTCGAAAACCGACTGGGAGCGAGCCCAGGCAGAAGGGCGGATGTGTTGGGGGGAGGCACCGCGAACCAGACATCCATGTTGCCAATAATGCTCTTCTTCCGACTTGCAACATGCTCTGGCATATGTACAACAACTCCTTGCCTGGGCCTCGATTCCCTGAGAACACCGCGCGGATCGAACATCTAGAAATCCGGGCCGTCTATCTGCATGTGCTGGCCAGGGATACACTGGCTCTCCGCTCTGCCGATCCAACACGAAACCTCCTACCAGCCTTGTCCGGCCGTGTTCCTCCTCCGAAAGCTCAAACTTGGGGTGTCTATAATTCTACGGAGTATTCCTTTCTTCATTTATTGCCGGGATGCATGGTCGGTGACAGCATCACAGCAAAAGATTCTTTATGTAAGTAGGCGGGTATCTGTTCGGCTACTGGATCCAGGCCCTCTCTCTTTTGTTGGGATGAGAATGCTTCTCAGGATTCGGTTCCCGATCTACAAACATGTTCGAGGTCAAGTACACGCTGTTCCCCGATGGGAGATGGGGTCCGTCGTTGCCGGTTTTGCTTCGGAAATACGTATATTTTTCTTGGACTTCATTTTTATCTATGATGCCTTCAATCTTAGCAGACCTTTGGCCGCAAACCACACTAATCCAACCACTAATGAGTCTTACGCCGTGTCAGGCCCGTCCGTGGAGACAAAGCAACTGCTCTTGAATTCAGGTTCCGTCCCAAGCAAGCACTGCATGGCGATCAGGGAGAGGCCGTGGCCTGCAAGACCTGGTTCCTCTCGGCCGCGACTCAAGAAAGCAAACACCTTTTTTTTTTTTTTTTCCAATTCTGAACCGCACTAATCGCCGTGAACATACAGAGTAACTAGTTAACAGTTAAGGCATTATTCTCGGTTGCAGAATTTTAATGTTAAGATCCGTTTCTTGCATGCATAACAGCCGAAGACATTTCAAATCCAACCGGGCTTCATACTTTTGAAGGTTTGCACAACTTCTTGCTCAAGAGACATATCTGACACAGATATATGCACTCTGTCTGGCATCACGCATGCATGCTCAGGTTCTCATCCCATTCGGCCACGTCTCAGGAAAACCCGCGTGCTTGGAATTGATTGCCAAAACGACGGCCCTCTTGACTAACATGTCAACAAGGTCCAGGTCTTCAAGTCGTGAGCGATAGTGACCATTCATATTGCCCAAGACAGGTATTTTGCTGCTTACTTATGGAGTAACCCAGCAATAATCTCACTGTTATCGGTTTATCAGAACATGGTCATTTGTTGGCGGTGAACCGAGGACCCTCTTAAAGCCACTGGGAGGAGGTCGATCGTATGGAGCAAATCTTGCATTTTGACATGGGAATGAAATGTCACTCCCTGGACTCCCAATGCTATGATCAGCCTGTTAAGCTGACTTCACTGTGTCACCGTGTTGGGATGTTCTGCAACACCAAATGTGATGTGAAGATCGCCGTTATCTAGCCATGTTTATAACTCCGTACATCTAGATCTTGAGGCCAGACAGTCCATATGAGGCTTTGTACCATCTCCCATTGTCCATAGTTGTACTTAGGCTGGCTGGTTGTTTGTTGCTTCGTTGGCAGCTGCTCGTTCACGAAGATGAACCATGGGGGCCATAGAGCAATCACGTGGGCAGACCCAGCCTCAGCGCAGGAATGACGACCAAGCAAGCCCGAGAGACAACCATCCGACCAGAGTTGATCTCGACGGCTCAAGCCCTCGCCTGGCATCACTATCTGTCCTAGTACTTCGAGACCAGAAGGCTCTCCTCTTTCTTCAGAGTGTCATAGGAGCAGCCTTGCTTATATGTGCACCTCGTCTCGATCACGGAGAACAATGATATACTGTCTCTCGTCGAACTGGGGTTGATTCATGCACAGCGCATAAGCTCCTTCAGGGGGTATTCTATTTTCATGATCACTACTGCATATCTGTTCTATGCGCGGTGCGTCTCTTTCCCTGTTAATTGGTTGATCCTGTGGGGAGATATGTCAACTAACACCCAGGGTGCAGACATTGTAGTTGCGATTTGTTACATATAGACCGAAACGATGTCCTCGTCGAAACACCTCTTTCTCAGTGACGAGGAGCTTGGAAAGAAATATGACGACCATAACCGTCGCGACTCTACATACGGACTATCATTAGGGAATTTTTGGAGGCGCTTCCCGCGACGAAGGCGCATCGCCTTAGTTTTCTTCGTTGCCTTCGTCGTTTTCATATTTTGCAAGCATATACCAACCCGAGTGGGAGATGTCAGCCAAAGATCGCAATTTTTGGATGATCCATGGTTGCGCCCATCCAGTGAAACCAATGTTGGATCGGAGCCAGCTGAAATAGACAGCACACCGGACGAGGATGGCATTAAATATTATCGAGGACCTATAGAGTTCGAGTCGCTGTTTGAATCGCTATATTCAACTCGTAGCTTGAGTTATGATGCAGATCAGGAATCTGTTATCTTTGCAACTGGGCAACTGAAGTCACTAGGCGATATGCTCCCCGTCGCATGCGACATGGCTGCAAGAAAGCGGAGTTCGGTCCATCTCGCAATTATGGGACGAGACGAGATCCCCCTTGCTGATATCCAGAGAGCTAATGGATTCAGAGAGGAGGACTGCCCTGTAACATGGCACGGTATGCGAGTTTCAAATCTTCATTCAGCATAGCCATATCGTTTATTCTAATTATATGACTGTAGATGCGCGACCAATTCACGCATCCACATCTAGCCCCTGGCGCCTAGAGTTAAGCGTCAAGGCTGCTTTGGTTCACATGTATCGGATCTTAGCTCCTCGAGCTTTCATTACCCGTGACATAGAATTTGAAGAAGCGTTTTTCATCGACGCAATTGAGCTTCGGGCCTTTCAGCTGGGAATAACGCATATCAGCTTACCCAGCCCGCTCTCTAATTTTAAATGGATCGCAGATTTGGATGCCTTTTCTCTTGAAGGTACGAAAATCATTTAAAACTCCCAATCCTAAGATTTATGTATGGCAGCAGTGCTAATGTTGTGTAGCCTGGAATGACGTACAAACGGAAATACTCATTAATGTCCAACCGAACTCTTCAGGGGGCCCCAGGAAACTACTCAGATCCCTCCAAGAGGCAGATTACTTCGGGCCGGCCCCGGGGTTAACAATTGAATTGCCTGTTGATGCTGACCCGACTTTGCTTTACTTTCTCAAAAATTTTCGTTGGCCGCCCAAGACAGCTCACCGTCAGTTTACTCTTCGGCGAAGAATCTCACCCTCTGTCCTGACGTCACAAGAGGCTGCAGTCAGAACAGTGGACTCCTTCTACCCGAAGAACCCCAACCTTTCCCATGTCGTTCTGGTTTCTCCAGACACAGAATTGGCCCCCTCATTTTTTCATTTCCTCAAATATTCCCTCTTGAAGTATAAATATGGCGACAGTGAAGATTCGCCAGGTCACCTGTTTGGCGTATCCTTAGAGCTACCCTCTTCTCGTCCAACAGACGGGAAACCATTCTCAGTACCCAGGACTATATCAAGTCCCAAAGGACAGTCAGCTGAGATTCCAACATTGCTGTGGCAGATACCTGACAACAATGCTGTACTGTATTTTGGAGATATGTGGGCAGAATTCCAGTCGTTCCTGTCCCACCGACTATCTACATCTATACAAAAGAAAGGAAAGGATGTCCATAAAGTTATCATGAAATCATACCCTTCATGGATGGACTATATGCTTGAATTCATGCGTGCTCGTGGTTATTACCTTGTCTACCCGGCATTTGCTGCCCAAGATGATCTCGCCATAGCGACGGTCCATAATGAGCTACACCGGCCCCCCGAGGAATATGACGACCCCAATCAAAGACAAGTGAAACCGAACTTCGAGGAGAAGGATCTCGCTCATTCTCCTTCAACCTTGTCTACGTTATTGGACGTCTATCCAGGAATGCTTCCAGACATCCGCGAGCTTCCAGTGCTGCCATACACAGGGGAACTAACGCACGATGACGAATCCACAAATGAACAAGTTTCGTTTCTACAAACGTTTAGGAAAGAAATAGGTGGCTGTACCAACAGTGACGAGAAGCCGGAGAGCGTTCCGCTCAAAGCTGATGATCTTTTTTGCATTGAAGAGGAACCAATATCCATAGAGGGCGTCGAAATTTCTGCTTAGTAGTTATTTTATCCTATCTAGCAATGTCCAAATATTGTACATTAGTGGCCATGCCAGATTTACTGAATATATATGAATACATAGCCCTATCTGTCCTTGATTCCTTGATTCTCTCCATAACACACATCGCAATATAGATTACGTAATCACTCTGAAGCTTCCAGATCCGAGAGCAAACCGCTGAACATACAACGCAGAATAACCTACCACACCCGCAAGGCAACCACCGCGAGCACTCGATCTCTAACCTCCTCTGAAAGCTTTGTCGGGTAGAATTTTTATAGACAGAGCTGCGCTCACTCCTGTATTTGCACCTCCCTCTTCAACAGTCACTCCCATGGCGAAGGACGACTTGTCATCCTCCAGTGCTGGGAAGGGCAAGGCAGAGGACACGAAGGAAATAAATGGAGGGAAAAATGAAGGCAAGGATGGGAAGCCCGTTGTGAACGGCAAAAAGGAGGAGGAACCTCAAGAAGGTGCGCGCGGCTTTGTACGCAAGCTGTTTGTGTTGAGTTCTGGCTACTAACTTGCGCGCCAGAGGAACTCAACGAAGAAGACCAACAGCTTAAAAATGAGCTTGAGATGCTCGTGGAGAGATTACAGGTACGTTGAGCTATTGGAGGCTAGTTGTCTTTCAAAGCAGCTGGCACAGTCTTGTGTGAGATGTGATAACCTGACTGGCGTGTTCGCATAGGAATCCGACACATCCCTTTACAAACCAGCTCTTGAGGCTATCAAAACCTTCATTAAGACCTCTACTTCGTCCATGACAGCAGTACCGAAGCCACTTAAATTTCTCAGACCACATTATGACGACCTTACCAAGGTATACGATGAATGGTCGTCTGGTGATGATAAGGTACGGAATCCGCTCTCTCCAATGTACTAGCCTGAAAACTAACCTCCCATAAAGGATTCCCTTGCGGATATTCTTTCAGTGCTAGGAATGACATATGGAGTCGAAGACAAACTAGAAACGCTTAAATATCGCCTTCTCGCGAAATCAGACGATCTTGGATCCTGGGGCCATGAATATATTCGTCACCTGGCACTGGAAATAGGCCAGGAATACCAAAACCGGTTGACCGATGATAAGGATGTACAGGATCTTGTGGACCTTTCGTTGTCCCTTGTGCCTTACTTCCTCAGCCATAACGCCGAGGCAGATGCTGTCGACTTGCTCAGTGAGCTAGAGATGATCGAGGAATTGCCCCGTTTTGTTGACGAGAATACTTACCCGCGGGTTTGTCTGTACATGGTCAGCATGGTCAACTTGCTCACATACCCAGAGGACCATCAGTTCTTACGCACCGTCCACGACATATATCTCCAATATAAGAAGCTTACGCAGGCTATCGTCATCGCAATACGCCTCAATGACCTTGAACTGATTCAGAGTGACTTCCAAGAGACGACGGACAAGGCGGTAAAATACCAAATGGCGTTTTTAGTTGCTCGTCAACGGATATGGCTTGAGCTTGAAGATGATGATATGCAACTAGCGGATTGCCTTAACAACATCGCCCTGCCCACTCACTTCAAATCCCTCGCAAAGGAGCTGAATATTCTTGAGCCAAAAATGCCGGAGGATATTTACAAAACCCACCTCGAAAACAACAGAGGAAGCCTTACCAATGTCGACTCTGCACGACACAACCTTGCCAGTGCTTTCGTTAACGCTTTTACCAATGCCGGTTTTGGAAACGATAAAATGATGCTCGTGGACGGGGACAAAGGACCTTGGGTTTGGAAAACGAAGGATGATGGAATGTTGTCGACTGCAGCCTCTCTGGGTATGCTTCTTCAGTGGGATGTTGAGGAAGGGTTGAACCAGATAGACAAGTTCACTTATGCGGAAGAAGACCAAATCAGAGCTGGAGCTCTGCTTGGAATTGGTATCATGAACGCAGGTGTGAGAGTCGACTCAGACCCCGCTCTAGCACTTCTCGGAGACTATGAAAATCTTGAGAACAAGAGCATTCCAATGAGGGTAGCATCTATCATGGGTCTTGGTCTAGCGTATGCTGGATCATGCAAGGAAGAACTTCTTGAGCTGCTCCTCCCAATTGTCGAGGATGTGACTGTCGACATGCAAATTTCTGCCATGGCTGCTGTGTCTCTTGGTATGATCTTTGTAGGTTCATCCAACCACCAGGTCAGTGAGGCCATAGCCACCACGTTAATGGATGAAGAGCGACAAAAACACCTAAAGGATAAGTGGACTCGTTTCATGGCGCTTGGCCTTGCACTCCTCTACTTTGGAAAACAAGAGGAAGTTGAGGTGGTCCTGGATATCCTTAAGGTGATTGAGCATCCCATGGCGAAACCAACATCCGTTCTCGCGTCAGTTTGTGCGTGGGCTGGAACCGGCACGGTCCTGAAACTACAAGAACTTCTCCATATTTGTAACGAAGTCTTTGAGGACAAGGAAGAAAACAAGGGCGAAGAGCTTGTGCAGTCGTATGCCGTCCTAGGCCTGTCTTTGATTGCTATGGGTGAGGAGATCGGCCAGGACATGGTTCTTCGACAGTTTGGCCATCTGATGCATTATGGTGCTGCGAATATTCGAAAGGCGGTTCCTCTTGCCATGGGACTGATCAGCCCAAGCAATCCACAGATGAAGGTGTACGACACACTTTCCAGGTACAGTCACGATAACGATAACGATGTTGCTATCAACGCCATCTTCGCTATGGGATTGCTAGGAGCAGGCACCAACAATGCTCGTTTGGCACAACTGCTCCGCCAGCTAGCAAGCTACTACCAACGCGATCAAAACTCGTTGTTCATGGTCCGTATTGCCCAGGGACTGCTCCACATGGGCAAGGGAAGCATGTCCGTGAACCCTTTCCATACCGATCGTCAAGTTCTTTCGAGAGTTGCAGCGGCCGGCCTCTTGACAGTTCTTGTGGCGATGATCGACGCTAAGGACTTTATCCTGGCTGACTCTCACTACCTCCTCTACTACCTTGTAACCGCCATGAACCCACGATTCCTTGTCACTCTGGACGAGGATCTCAAACCTCTCACTGTCAACGTTCGTGTTGGTCAGGCCGTCGATGTGGTAGGTCAGGCCGGAAGACCCAAAACCATCACAGGCTGGCAAACACAAAGCACCCCTGTGCTATTATCGTACGGAGAGCGAGCTGAGCTAGAAGACGAAGAGTACATCTGTCTAAGCAGTACTCTTGAAGGGCTCGTCATCCTCCGAAAGGTTAGTCTACGGGACCCCACCACCGCCTGCTGAATTTGAATTACGCTGGACGATATGCTAACAATCTACCCCGTTTTATAGAATCCGGAGTGGGAGGAGAACTCAACATGAGAACGATACATCTGCCCAGCCCTGTATGTATTGTTAAAATTTAAATCTATTATTTTCTGTCTTCGATAAAAATCTGGTTCATGGGCCTGCGGGATCCGTCGGCTGTTCCCCTGATCAAACAGTGATAGTTATCAGCCACGGGCGCCGAGTGAGCGATCCAATAGAAAGTAGACGAAATGGAAAGCTTCAACTAACTGTACAAAGCGCGGCAATCGTTCTCTAGTAATATATACATACAGTAGGCCAGGCATGCTGAAATTCCACTCTGCATTATTCCAAGGGATGCGATAATATATAGTTTTAGTCAGGCTGTTCGTCCGTGGTTGTTTCCTGTGACCGGGATAAATCCAGGGAATGCCCGCGATACGCGCATGCTGTGGACCCCCAAGCGACCACGCGAAGATTATCAAGGGACTCCCCCATCGCTGGCAATAGCCGAGCCATACCCCAAGGCAGCTGACAGCTGACGGCATCAACTGAGTCGGCCGCCGGTTGCCTTTGGTGATTATCTCGAGTTACACCGTCGTGCAGCAAGCCAATTCATAGCTGGTCACGGGGTATACCTAATGGACAAGCAGGAGACAAATTTGATGGAGACGAGCAACATGATGGTGATGACTGACGATGCTGATGATTAAGGTGACGGCAAAAGGGCTAGAGGCAGCCTGTCCAGCAATAAGAGGGTCCATTTTGGTTGATATATAAGAACGACTCCGAATGCTACTGCCAGGCATGCCCTCACTCAGTCGCCGCCATCACCAACAACAACAGTCCCGACATCGCACACGCAGGAAGACACAGGGACGTCTGTATACCCCTTCGCCAGAATTTATATACCAGGGACCGGGAATAGATGGCTCCCGTGGCTGAGGAACTTGTTCGGAGAGTGCCTGAGTTTGGGGAGCCGTCTATAGGAGTTGCTATACACTGGGCCGACCCTAAGGACATTCTGTCCGTTCTCTTCATTCTCGGCGGCGATCTGGTAGAACATGCGTTTGCTCAGCTTGTTGGAACTCCAGTTCCACCGGTTGCTTTCTCGTTTGGTAGGCCACTCCAGTTGCCAGAATAGTTATCTTGACTGTTGCTTTCTATAGTCATTATCAGTTGTGGCTAACAGACTTTTGCAGGATGCGTTTCATACGGTTTGAACGCTGTGGTATCAGCTATCGGGAAGAACAGGCTCATGCCCGACACCGATCATCCATGCAAGATCATCAACGGCGAGACAGGAACTTCATTTGACAATACCAGCTGGGTACTTGGACGTTTACTGCGGGATCATGACTACTGGAAACACAAGGACGTCCACAACCATCTCAAGGATAATATTACTCGAAAATGGGATCAGTTGAAACTCGATAGCATAACCACCCATGGTACTTGTGCAAATGTGAGACAACCTAAGAAAGCTGGCCTCTGTGTATCTATATACAAGGCCAAGGAGGAAGGCCTGGGTCGACCTAAAAGAGATAAATTCGATTACAGCGGCATGCTCACCACGCTCCTTCAACTTTTGCTTTCAGCAGTTCCACTCATGAGAGAAGGCGACTGGTCACCGTTTCTGACAACCTTGACTGGCTCTTTACTGTCTATCATATCAGGTTGTCTGCGCCAATGGCGACGGGAGAAGTGGCCATGTTGCGCAAACTCGGAGAAAACAGTGGTTTTGACAAAAGGTGCCGGGTGCCAACATGCTATTGTCATCATAGGAGACGGGCGTGGCTTCGACCTCGAAGAAATGGCTGTGGGTTCGGAGGAGAGAGATTTACCTTGTGACATCTTCACTAGAGTTGCGGTTTTCATCCTTGCTGTATTCTGGGTCCTGCTTGTTATATTTGCGGCTGGTCTCAAAACCAATGCTTGGTATGTTATCACCGCAGGCGGCATGGGAACCATCCAGAATGCGTACGTCGTTGGAGGAAAACGCACCCCAGAGTCCTTTGGCCTTCCCTTGGAGTTCCTCGACGTTATAGGTGAAATTGGCGTTATGGATACGTTGCTCGCTGTGGAAGAGAAATACCCGAACTTGGGCAGCAGTATGATATCTACCTTTTTCCCGGATGGCCAGATGACGGAAGAATACCATCTGAAATGGGAGGCCCTTCGAGCGAGAGCTGCCCTGCAAGGAGGAAAACCACGCCGAAGCCAGACCATCTAATCTAAACCTTTTAACGTGCATTTTCCGCAACGGGAATACGAACATCAATTTCAATTCTTCTCGTCAATTTTCTAACGAGGTGCTACAGGGTTTATCCGGTTATTCTCTTATGTTAGCTGTTTGTTCATGGGATCTGTGAATGGAGCTTATGCTTAGCGGCATCATACTGGAGTCTGAATGTTTACATCAATAGAGTTACGGACTAGAATGAGTAACGAGTAACGAACTTCGCAAGATTAGATACGAATGATAACAATCCTTGACTGAAAAAAAATATTACTGGTCCGGTTCTCAATATCAATATTCCAAGTACGTCCATTGGCTAATTAATCTCAGAAATGCGAGTCAACCAGAAGAATTAATTTCAGCTGCATTGGCTTCATTTCCTGAGATTGATATATACTATCCATGTGAAGTTACAGTTGGTCATTGTAGGGCCGGCAGCTAACGTAAACCACGACGGCGGTATTAAGGCTTACCAGGAACAGTGCGGACTAGCATAATGAAGTTCCACAAGAGTTCCATGACGGTTCCAGAAGAAGGGTGTTTGGGAGGGAGGTAAGGAGATATTTCCCGGTTTCAAAAGCTTGAATAGGAGTGCGTGTATCTAGATATAGGAAATTGCGAATAGTTATTATCTAATGAGTATGGATATGGTTTCATGTACAAGCAGCACAAAGGGCTGAGGAATGATGGCAGATGATCGACGAGGGTCAGTACGAAAGAGTAAACATGTAAGACATCGCCGGTCAAGCTTGAACAGCTGCTCCTCGTATATGTAAGTATATTTATTCATGAGTAGAGAGAGAGAAAAAATATCCTATCATATTTGCTTTTGGGAGCACAATGGTGGCCACCCCCAAAGTATGGAAGCCGGATCCCTGTGTCCGACAGTACCCCCGACTTCCTGAAACTGCTCACTCACATCTGACCCTCTATGTATTGATCAACATGAGGTGAAGGTGGGGAGATGCCATGAACCGCAGGACATATTCATCATTTTCCTTTCTCCCTCCCCCATAATCTCCTTTCCTATGTTGACCACGAACCAACCATTTTTCACAGTGGTCGTAATAAGGCCTTTCTTTCTCGCAGTCCTCATGGACATGCCGACACAGTGACATCTCTAATTATGGCTGAAATGATTAGTTACAAGTTCACGCCTCAGCCGCAGCAAATTCCTCATCAATTTCCAGGCTTAAATGCCTGCTCCTGGTCCTGATATAACGATCTTCTTCCCCGCTGCCGAGGGCGAGGGGTTTTGAGAATTAGCCCCTGGGTATATCATGTTTTTTCGAGCTTTTCTAGTGAAAGAGGGACACGAGAATGCATCAGTCTTGGTGTGGCAGTTGTATATGTCAAACAGCCTGCCTCTTCAGCGTGGTCACTGGCAGGTCGAGCATCAGAACCAAGGCTGTTTAATGCTTGTCGGTTCCATGCAGGACCTTCAACTCGAATAATGATGCACGGAACCCATCATCTTCTTCCCAACGGCAACATCATCCTTTGCCCTCATAACTTTTTATGAAGAACCGATAAGCTTGTCGTCATATCCATGGTAACCTAGTATGTACCTTGGGAGTAAAAGAGGCATTAAGACATGCAGACTGGCCTTCACATGCGAAGAGCCTTGGCCTGCTCTTAACCCCGTCCCACGTTAGTTATATCAGCGCAGTTATTATCAACGTCCTGCAGGCACGCCTATTATTAGCTCGTCGTCCGTTTTCTCGTAGTGTGTATGGATATTGGGTAAAAGATTAGAGTAAACAGCGCTGTGGATGGTTTAAAAAAGGCCTCCAAACTCAAAAAATAGAGTTTTCTTGAGATGATATTATATAATATAAGGTCCGTGCGTGGCCATATTAGGACTAGCGTGACGCCGGCGTTTCATGGTAAGACGCTAATCCCGTATAGGAAATAGTCGTGCCTCCGGACGCGGATAAATCCGATCCGCAGCCAATCATAACGCCTCGATGAATTTAGCGCGCTCAAACTCCAACTTCAAATCAAACGAAACAACCACCATCACACTCTTTGGCATCGCGATCTTGATGCAAAGGTACTAGCAACCTAGCCTGCTGCTACTCGAGAACTATACATGGGTATCCCTTCACACTCATGGGATGGATGACATGCCGCACACCCCGACAAGACCCGCATCCAAGATGCAGACACAGAAAAACTGGATATCAAACGCCCCGAGCGCTTCTCGGCCAGCCTAGAGTTGGTACCCCCAGGCGCCACACCCTCACTATGTCTCTCTGTGTACTCCGTTTCTTGTCTGGTTCATATCTCTCCCGTGTATATTCAACGATCTTCTCTTGGCCGACACACTCAGCACTCCGGCTATCTCATACGCACCTTATGTTACCTCCGTCCTTCCTATTCAGACCATGGCTATAACATCAACGTTCCTGAGGATCCAGATGGCGTTCGGGGATGCCGTCCATGGCCAGGTTCTAGGATTTGAAATCTTAGTGCCTTTCATCTTTAGAAAGCCATTCCTAGTCGGCCCCTCTCTAATCTATCATCCACCCATACAACACATATACATTTCTTTCACCACACGTCATGGTTACCCCCACTAACCGCGGAAACCCAGAGCAATAACCTAAAACACACCCTCCTGAGTCAAGTCTGGACTTGATTATTACTGATGTGGTCCTTTTTACCACCCTAGGCAATGTTTTCTTACTCTTGATACCATACAAATACACCCGACCGTGGCCTGATCGGAAGGCTTCAGGGCTCAGCTTCCTCGGAGATTGTCCACCCGCTATACACCTCGAGATTCCATTCAGAACCAGAACAAGGTTCTAATCTCTTCATTCTAAGTCTAGACAGATTCTTACGTCTATACGTGCTCACTGACTGTAGATAATCCTTCCCATATATTGGATACGTTTTAATTCCAATCCGCCCGGAAGTTTTTCTTTGTTAAAATTATATTACCACCCGCCAAGCCGGGTTCAATTGGCTGGACTACCTTATTCCTGATGCATGATTTCGCCTTTCGGCCATTTAGCATTCATCCTTCGGACAGCGAGGAATGGCAGACGCCTTAAAGCGGGACACCAACCTGCATGGCATACCGGGACATTTTGATGATAGCCGCTGCGAGACCATCCCCCCGTACCATATCGACATCGTAACTTTCTCCCCTTGGGAAGTGTATACGCATGGGAGCCCCCAGTTCCTCCCGTTGACTTGAACTGTTAACTTTTCTTTCTTTGCGATAAATTCCAGCTTTGAATGAAGAGCTTACGACATACTTACATATGCAGATCTACCACGTTGACGGAAGGCCCTCCTGACGATTTCTCCATCACTTAGCGTCTCTCCACTTGCGGGATTATCACTTTCAGTTAGGGCCAAGCTCTATCCAAGCTTCTATTCTGTTTCTCAATTCTCCTTGCTTCCTCTCGCTAAAGGGTCGCATCAAATTTTAAAACAAATACGGACAGCACCAAGCATGTCCAAATAGGGTCAATTTTGATTTTCCCAGGATCTCCAACATCCTGGCTCAGATCGCCGAGAGGGTAGAACGTGATGAATCAACTAAGTTCTTCCCTTCAATCTAAAAAAGGAGCTTATCTCGGAACAGCTCAGTTTCGTGCTTCAATCATATACTTGTTCACATATATACCCTTCGTTTTATTGTATGTTTCAAGCGATGATATATTAGGCGCTTCAACTCTTCCATTATTACTGTCGCCATGATCCCCTCACACTTCCACTCTTTTTATCTAGATCCTTCACTTCCCATTTTTCTCGCTTTTCTATATCATTGACAACCCTCGTTACCCGTCTATCTATATACCATAACTCTTCCCCTGGTGGCCCAGTTAAATTTGAAAGTTAAACCACACATCCAACCAAAATACCCGCTGTTTTTGCCGGACGTTCCATGACGCGCACTGGTTCATTCTCATCAGATTAAGCTATAATATCAAGTCCTTTCCGCTGACCTTTCTATCTCGACAAGTCCCGTCCGCCACCTTCCTTCCGGTCAACTACTGAGCAGTTCCAGCTATCATTCACTTTATCAACAATCCTTGATTCAACGAGACCCTGTTTCCACTGATATCTAAACCAAGAAATCAACCCGTTCCACTGGTGGTTGGTCTCTTCAACATGTGCAACTTTTTCAAGAACTTCTACGTTTACAGCTCGTGCCGGGACCCAGGGAACCATTTCTTCCGCATCTCCACCGATGGCTCAGGCGACCTCAGATGTCCCGGGAGCCCTCACGAGCGGTTTATAGTGGTTGTTGGCCAATGTCGGATCTGCAAACGTTGAAAACGAACATTCGACGAACCTCTTTTTATGGCCAGTTGTGCATTGCAGCCATTCTGGACGATATCCGATTTTTTGGTCAAAAGCCACCGTTGTTGCTTTCTATAGTAATTCTTCCTTCTTCCCGGTCAGTTGCCAGTCTACTTCGCATACCCAGTTCCAAGGCTAACCCCAAAGTCCAGAAACCCTCTTGTTACGACTATGGATTATTTAGCATGAAGAATTGCAGGCAGTTCTACACTATCTTCCCTTATGAACGCCATGGTCAGCTCTTCTTTGACGCTGTAATGCCTGGGCTATGCGGAACAGTTTCGTTACGAGATACCATTTGCCTCCTCTTTTTTCTTTACGTTTCCTTTTTCGTTTGCGTGCTACCTGCTTCTGTATTTCTATTGATTTAAGGCATTGATGAGGGAGTGTGATTCACAAAAGCTCAACGTATCCTGTCTCACTCTAAAAAAATCTCATTGGCGCACAAGGGGTACGGTCGATGCAACACAAGGCATTCACTGTAAATATCAGTGTATCAGAGCGCGCGACATGCTGTTGTCACCCATACACATCCATTCTCTGCTACCAGACTATGCTGTTTCAAGTCAAGCTTAACCAACTGGCGGAACTAGAGTTCGTGCAAACCCATACCCTTGCCGGACCTATGGCGATTAGACGGAGTGTGAAGGCCCATGGAGCTAAACGGTAGACAGGTCACATCACATCCAAAGCCGTTAAAGCAGGGCTATGTTTATAAAGAACTAAAACACCGTATACTAGTCGAGTTTGTTGCAGGAACTGAGGTCATACACCTAGATATGTTTTCCCTGGTGTCTATGAGCCGTGTTACGGGCTCGTCAGTACAGTCTTTCGCAGAGGCGTGGATGGTGAAGCATATATTTACTAAAAATAAGTATGGCAACGTACGATTAGAATGAGTCTATTTGACACAACGCCTGTTTCAGAGAGAGAAAACCCGAGAACTGTATCGGCAAGAGCTCTCCCTTTCTAACAAGAATTAGAATACTTATAACTACGGAGTACCTGACCAAAAGTCCCAAGTTCAAACAGCTTCTTTGGTTGAAGCTTGCTGATCTCCTTTTAGTCGTCTTGAGCAACACCCATACATACCCCATGAAAAGGACTTCTAGTGACACAGTCCCGGTATGCAATGGCTAAAGGTACATTGCATGTTATATACAAAGAAATTATAGGTCTCTGAGTTAACCAGATAAGGAGGCCTTTCTCCTGCATAAAAGTGACGCCGTTGATTGGAAGAAAAGTGAGGCTCAAAACGAATTTGAGATGACAAGAAAGCACTATTATTTAAAGATCTACTAGGTGAGGACTACTGTAACCACTACCACTGGAGGTTTCGGGCTGTTTCATAATATGTATTGCATCTGGATTATGCAGTTGATTAACGCAGCTGTGCTTTTTCAGGTACCGACCGGTCAACAGCTAGTTAACCGATTACACCCCCCAACTACCGCCTAACTAGCTAGTTATTTCCCGTAAGTCATATCAAAATGAGAGCCGGCCAACTAACTAGTTAACTAGTTGCTTCAGCCGTAACTGATAACTACTGGCCACTAACTGATCACGTAGTTAACACCTTGTTTCTTTGAAATACAAATGTACGAAAAGCATAGGGCAGCTACTCCATCTCCATCCTCTGGACTCTGGACTGGCAGAGTTGATATCTAACTTATAGAAGCGACTCGCCAAGAGCTGCAAAATAAGACCCATCGTTCTTCACATTTCTGCAACGGCTCTAACTAAATTACAGTTCTCTTTGGACGCAAAACATCCCTGTCTCGACAACGTGTTTTGCAGGGCCTGGTGACACATGTTCGCTGCCCTCCTGAGTCGAACTCAGCCGTCACCCAGGAAGGGCAGCTTATTGCAACGTCGAATGCCCAGGAGGATAGCTAGTTAGTTATCCTCAGCGCAAAATGACCTGACGGTGAGACCGTTTCCTTGCTGCCGTGTTTGCCTGGTACCATGGGTTGGCTAGCGACGGTAAAGAACATATTTGAGTAACCAGCCAAAAGGAATATAAGATATTAGTTAACTAAAACTGAAGAAAAAGAAAAGATGAAGAGAAAAGCAAAAAGAAACAGGCCCGAGATGACTGCATTTAGCTCCGAGGCTTGGTGATTTCGTGAGAGCAAGAATCAAAACCAGAGGAGCAGTTAAGGTTGTCTCCTTGGTTCTCGAAGAGTCAGACAGCTAACTAGAACTCCTAGTAGGAAGGTGTACTGAAACCATGAAGGTGGAGTTGGATTCCAACGGGGATGGACCCCAGGCTCTTTTCTTTTCTTGGAGTAAGATCGCAACTAGTTTATGTCTGTCATTTTCGATCCTGATTCAGCCCAGATTTAACGACGCGGCCAGGGGCAGCGCGGTAAATCTTCTCCAGCCCAGGATAGGGGTCTGCGAAGCCCGGTTTTGGCGAGGGCAGACACTGATGCTTGTGAGCAGGCTGAATTGAAAGTTGGCTTTGCGCTGAGTGGCGGTGTCTGAATGCCTCTGAACACTTGTACAGGACCATCATAGGATTGTTATTAGTTTTAACACCGTGTTCCATAGGATAATCCTGTTTTCGTGCCCTCATTGAGTCGGCTTCCTCATTTCCTTGCCGGATGTCTTCATCTGAGGGTGCTAGGTCAGCCAGCATAGTACCCAGGCATGGAGTTGACTGTGTGTTCAATTATCCCAAGACTTCCCGCGCTCCCCGCCGGGATTGGGGACGAATACGGACGCAAGGCACCTGTGCACATCGGTAGCACGAGTAGGATGGGGAAATCACGTACTATAGGCAAAGTGAATGAATGCACAGAAACATGGAGCGTCCCTTGTACTTAGCTCAAGAGATATTATACCTGTCGTCTTATTGGAAATCTCAGTAATGTAATCTCTAGGCCGGGGTTGGCTATCTCATTGGATGTACAGGAGTGAAAGAGGCGCGGGAAAGGAAAGAGGGTCTATGGCCTCGAGAAGAGGCTGATGCTCAGCAAGGTACCACATCCTCGCGCTCAGGGAAGGAAATCGAACGGGCATGACGAGGGTGGTCGGGCCTTCCGGGTTAAGTATAACATACGATATAGGTACAAACGTTGAATAGATGTATACGAGTGGTCTTGTACTCCGTACCTTTGCGTGGACACGTATCAATTCTGGGCATACCTCCGATGGCGAGGTGAGAACTGGTTACGATTTCCATTCCAGGGGCCGGGGTATCTAGGGATGACGCCCTCGGAATGTAGGTAGGCATGCATCATCACTTTTTATATCATCCAAGCAGGTTCATTCAATGCCCTAGATTTCCGACCGTTCGTGGGGTAGTGGGGTAGCGGTCTTCAAACATATTCTGCGTCATGACCCTTGCCGAGGGGTATCAAACGAACAGTGATCGTCTTGCCATCAATGGTATTTCATATAAAGACACGGTGGTGCAAGGCGTTGTTGACTCTCGACATATGGGACCTAGAACCAATGTTCTCTTTATTCCTATGCGTAGGTCTCATACGGCATGCCACTTTTACTTTCACTCGAAAGCCAGGCTGCGACTTCTGCCTGAGCACCAATCTATTAGTTATTTCCGGTGGAATCATCCCGGCTAACCCTCCCTAGACATCCTAGTCATATAAGTAGTCATCTATACATACCACAGGAACGTGGGGTTGACGGACCTGGGTAAATGGCCTGAGCTGCCATTACGGGTGATATTGCCGAGTCAATGTGCACAGATCGATCATGACTTGCGGATGTTTTCCTCTTGTTTGTATTTTTTGTCGAGGACTTGTCCGCTGATACCATGGGAGGCTCGTTTCATTCTAAAATATTTGTCGGTCCCAGATGCCCTTATTACTGCGGAGGGGGAGCAGTACCCCTTTTTCAACCAACTTCACATTGATATGCAAGATGGGTTACTTCCGCACCTCATGACCTCAGATAATACCAAGCTTTATGTTCAACTTTTCATAAGCAGGTAGAGGCATCGTTCCCATATTTGGCCATCGAAAGCTATTCGATCACAGAGAATATGAGCCTTCTCGGGTATTTAGTAGACGAAGACGAGGAGCGTCAAGTCATTTCTTAACAGGAGAATTGGAAAATTTGAAACAATGCTGGTGACTATGTCTGTGTTTGCATGGCACACAGCTCGCTGCACATGCATATGAAGCTACTCTTCTCCATTTCGCTCGATATCCTCAGCTTTTATTGACCAGTGCTATCTCTGATTGCACCAAGGTTCATCCTATCGCTGGATTTGAGGATAAGACTGTAGCGCAAGGTCGCGCGTTTGCTTGGTTTGACTTGATTTCTTGCAGTGTCTAGCCGTTAAGTGACGGTCCCCCATCGGATTTAGCCTGTCAGGTAAGTCTAAAATGGTAGAGTCTTGGGGCGCTAGAAGTTGCTTGATGTTTGGGCAAAGTGTTCGTACCAACCTTGCAGTAATCGGGGTGTTATAATTTGGACCAGTAGTTATGGTGCTAGATGACTGGTTAGTCAATATTAAACGTTAGCAGCGGCAGGAGTTATAGCTATAATCCCGAGACAGCTTGCTATATGCAAGCACTTAATAGCAGAATATGCTTATAATTGTGCGACACCCACTGTCACCAGATATTCTCACTGTGATAAGGCTGTTCGTTTTTTAGGCGAAGAGGTTAAGAAATTCCCGGATTTCGCCGCGTAACTCGCTCCCAAGGCTCCCCGCAGTTCAGCGTGGGGGGGGGGGGGGGGGGGGATGGAGCCAACTACACGTATTCATATTGGATCATCCGGGTCATGGAGTATGATGTAGTAAATGTTTTATTCGTATCGATTGGTATCTGTAAGTGGACTATCAAAAAGCCCCGTGATTCACCATAGCCTCCCAAAACACGTGGCAAATATTCATGAAAATTGGTATCCTTGGAAGAGCCACCACCAAAAAAGGGGGGTTATAAGAAACAACAGGAAAAAATATGCCTGAACCAAATGCCTTGATAGAAAATTCAAAATGTCACTGTGATAGCATAAAGTTAAAAATATAAGAAAAAAAAAAAAAAAAAAAAAAAAAAAAAAACTAGGGCTCAGCCAGCTGTAGAAATCAACTTCAAAGATATGTACCTCCCAAAAATTCGCAATGCTGAATAATCGTGTAACAAATAAACATAAAAATAATACCAGATATGATGTATGATGGCTTTTAGCCATTCTGGTCCCCTGTCTAATAGTACTGTGAACACCGGTGCAATGCAGGAAAAAAAAAAAAAGGGACAAAAAAAGAAGAGGGAACATGCCGCAAAAGATGCAGAATGAGGAAAATGAGGGAATCCAAAGATGAAAAGGCCAATGACAGAAGAAGCACAAAAGGCATGGCCTGCATATCTGGGGAGTGAATTAACTTTGGTGGTATTGTGTTGTGTGTGTGGTTGGTTGAACTTGAGAGAAATACTGTTCTCCCCATATGTTAGGCTGGGAATATGGTAAAACACCAGTTCGGTCAACTCGGTGTTCTGAACTTCTTTTGCCTAGTGGCTGGTATCGCATTAGATCAACCGACAACTGCCGGGGTTGAAGAAGAGAGCCAGCCGGAGGAGGGTATAGAAGAGTATTGACTGAACGAACTGGGCGGTAGGGGGAGTTGCGGTCCAAAAGGATAGAAGAAGGCGAAAGGTGAGTTGGAGTGCGAACTGAATATGCAGGAACAGCGGGTGAAATGGTGGCTGAAGGTGCTGTTGCTGGGAATGAGGTTGAGCCAGGACGCCTTGAAGAGTCAGGGAAACCACCGGCAGCACTCTGTTGCAGGTTTGTGACTGGCAATGGTGCTAGGGATGGCTGTGAAACAGGAGGCTGACTCCAACGAGTCGGAGTGCTGTTGACTGGGAAAACCGTGGGCCGAGGCGCAGTAGAAATAGGCTGGGTGCCGGTAAGCGGCGCTAAAGAGGTTGGTGGATTTGTGGAGCTCATAGGGTACCCCGGTTGAGGCCTTGTAAGCTGCGGTGCCATGTTAGACGGCATAGAAACGATACTCGTTGGTAACTGAGGCTGAGCAGGAGGTGCAGTAGAGGGCAACTGAGAAGCCGTATAGAGCTGTGACGGGGCTTGAGTCGATGGTCTAACCCAAGTCGTATTCGCAGTTGCTGGTCTCTTGGCCGGATTATCGTTGGCCTGGTCATCCCAACTGCGTTTTCTGTGGGCACTCAACGGTTCCACAGGTATTGTCGAATGTGATGCGGGATCGTCATAGCCGAGGGATGCATTATTTGACTGAGGGATGCTTAACGACAAGCGAGCCTGGGAGGTGTTAACGGCCTGTGACGAAGTAGGATAAATCTGGCTTGTGGTATGCTGTGAGGTTCGATAGTTATCCATGGAGGGGGTTAATGGGCTGTGAACTGGTGAAGCACGAGCAGATTTGTTGGCAGAGTAAACGTCCAGTGAAAGCCTCGAAGCCTTTTCGAAATAGCTTGAGAATACTGATAGTTTCGCCAGCCATTGGTTCCATTCTTCCTTGGTAACGAACAAATTATATCGGACATTGCTGAGGAACTCAACTTCCATCACATGTATCTCCTGGACTGATATACCAGAAACTTCCGCCCAGGTCTTGTTGGTGTAGGTGTTATCATCAAGAACTAGAGCACGAGTTAGCGAGCTCAGCTAATACATATAACGATGCAACTCCAATGCTTACACTTGTTCCCCATCATCAGGGCTATAGTCATTAGCCTGAACTCACTCCCCCGTTTCCCTCGTACTGCGGGATTGAATTTTTTGAGGCGGTAGATGAACAGTAGTGCTAAAAGAATAACATTCTTGCTCACTTGTGTAGTGGTCAGTACCGTAGTAACCCATTTCTTGAAACCCGGGCTTGGTGCAAACTCCAGCTCCAGCGGTGAGGTTGGCGTATACGAAGAAGAGCTGTCTTCGATCTGCTTCAATTTCGAGGCCTTTGCAAACCAGAACAGACAAGCCACCTGCAGGATTTCATTCAGGTCAGTATTCGTCAGGTAGAGAGATTCCACATATATACATGTGTTATAGTACTGATGGGTATAGACCTGTTAGCGTACCTGAGCAGCAAATTCGGCCAGATTGCCCGCGTTCCCATTGGGGGAAGAGCCAAGCTGCGGGCTGGATACGCTGGAAGCCGTGGACTTGACAGGAGAGTTCGACGAGGTCTCCTGGTTGATGTTGGAATGCTGGCTAATCAGTGGCACTGGCTGCCGCTGCGCTGGCCTGGTCTGCTGTGCGGTGCTGTCTTCCCTCCAGGTGTTATTGCTGCAGCTGTTGGTGTTGTGGTTAAAGGCGGTGACGTCTTTTCTCCCGTCCACTCCTATTTGAACGTCACTCCTCTGATGCGAGTAGCCTCCATAGTGATGCGGCAACGACGACGCAACAGCAACCCCCACTCTCGTCATATCTGAAGCTATTCGTGAGCTCGATGATTGTCTGGCAGGGTCCCCCTGAAGCCTAGAGAGCTCGGCTCTATCTATCAGCAGCGGTTTGGAGGTCGACGACGATAAGGACGAGGCCCCGAATGGGAGCGGGAGGAAATGGTTCGGCGGTATTTCGAGGACGGCAGGCATGAGTGAGTGATGTAGAGGAGACGACAGGTATAGGTAGGTAGGTATAGAGAAGTATTGGGGGTGACGGTGAATTCCCTGGGTGACTGCGGTGATTATCACTAGATCATGCTGCTGACCGTTGCACTAGGAGAGTGAAGCAACAATGCTTCACTGACATGAAGATGAAGGAAAGAGAACAAGAAGAATGAGAAGAATAAGAAAGAAAAGAGAAAGATAAGTCCATGTCCTCAAGGGCAAGCATCGCAGGACATGACGAAGACGAAGGCAAAAGGAATAGAAGCCGCCCTCAGTGGAGCAACAGCAGGAGGACGCCAGGACAGGATAACGGGCACAAGAAGAAGCTCTCGGCAAGAACAGCGAGGTTCTGGACGGACGGTTCAATCAATCAATCCATCTCAAGGAGACGAGACGAACCGTGGCGGGGATTGGAGATAGCCAGCCAAGCGGGACGACCAGCCCGTGGATATGAGGATGAGAAGTCACTAAAACATGTCCGGCAGCAGACACGAGAAAGGAGTCAAAAAGAAAGGGGCAAGTCATAGACGAGCATCACCGATCAAGCAAGCAACATCGATACATCTACCACAGCCCGAGGCATAAAAACAGCCCCAGGTCAAGCAAAGCGGCGCGCAAATGAGACGCAAATGAAAGGGGATGGATTGGACGCAGTCTGAGGGTCACATCCATCCATCCATCCCATCCACACACATCCATGATCCACTGACCTCGTTCTTTGGAAGCACTAACTCTGGGCCACCGGATTGCCATTCAGCCATCCAGTTAGTTAATTTTGCACAAAAAGAAAGTGTGAAAAAAAAAAAAAAAAAAAAAAAAAAGCACAGGAGCCGGATGAGAAAATAATAATGATGGCGATGGGGGATAAGATGCAAGTCTCCAGTACGCAAAGTTATTTTTTATTATTTGCCCTTGGGCGAAGTTTGGCCCGGAAACAAAAAAGAAACCTCTCAGGCGGCTGATCGTTATTTTTACTTTTTGTTGCTTGCTGGCATCTTCTACAACTCTGGCAGAGACACAGAAAGATGGATAGGCGGAGGCAAGCCCTGGTTGATGGGACGCACTCTGGATACTGGGCGTCGACTGTTGGGATGCAGGAGTCAAGGGAAAACCAGGGGCTTGCTGGTTCTTGAGAAAACACTAAAAAGCATGAAAGCCAACGATAGAAAGAGACAAGAAGACAAAAAGCAAAGGCCGTGTAAGTATACATCGCTATAGGATGGAGTACGCTTATGCTTTTACCTTTGTGCTTCCAGGCATGTCCGTCTCTTCCTTTCCCCATACTTTTTACGATGCATACTTACAAAATCTGCGTGTTCAAGAGTCTTCCATCTGTTGACAAGGGCTCAAGGCTCAAGGGCTTTGGCATGTCGGTCAGAGGCCGCCCTAAACGGAATCTCAAGAGACCAGCTAGCTCGTATCACACTCCCCGAGATCCCTCATGATCTTGCTGTTCATCAACCTGGATGAAGCCAGGAAGGCGTCTTGCATCTCTGTTGCATCACTCGTATGTAGGCTGGTCGTGACGATGTTATTACCATCACCTTACTTGATCACAGTAACGGAACGGACAGAACGCCCATACTACGGTTTTGGGGCAAATAGTCTTGTCTCATTCTTTGATATCGGTACACTGGCCGGCTAGCGATAGTTATACGGTCAGCTTTGATATCAGAGAAGCTAGTTAGCCCAGAGAAAACTAACGAGCTCCTCTACCCACACTTTCTCTTGCCCATCCACGAAACTCACACCCTGCTGAACCGACTGTTCGACGTTAAGAATGGTGATGCTGGGAGAAGCGATTGACTTGTGGATGTCCTGTGTTTCACCATACTCGTCTTTTGCTTCGCATGAAGGGGATGGAGTCAGGATGAGACGATACAACGACACGAACAAGATAGCGAATTAAAAAGTGGTGACACGGCAAAGACATGAAAAGAAAGGCTGATCTGGGCGACTTTTTACGGAGTACGAGCCACCACGACACAAGCAGGTGAGGATCTCCTGGCACCCCAGCCCTTCTGTTCGTTGCTCGTTCCTCCACCGACCATCGTCTTTCGCAGCCGGCATGTCCTTTTAACTCCCTGCGAAACCCCATCGCTGGGGTGTTTAACTGAATCCGCTACTCCGTCCGTATACATGCTTCGATGTAAACGGGTAGTCCTTCTTCTGCAGCATACGTGTATGACGTGACCTCTTTTTTACGCTGGGGATACGAATCAATCTCAGGCGACAAGGCAAGGCCCCAGTCCGCTCAGTTGGCGTAATTAATGAGATACACCTGCCGGTGTACCCCTCTCCCATCCGGCTGAGAATTTTGGACTATCTTTGGGACGATATATTGATTATTTTGAGGATAAAGGGTGAGAGGTTACGGAGTACTAATTATAATCTCAGCAGAACACATGTGGCCCTTTTCCTTCAAGCACCAAAGGCAAACCACGTCAACGGGACGGCACAGGAAGAAGCAAGAGAAAATAAAACACATTGCTCTTCCTGGTACAGCGGTTTTATCCAGGCCTGCTCTAATCTGCAAGCATATATCACTTTTTTTTTTTTTTTTTTTTTTTTTTTTTTTTTTTTTTTTTTTTAACAGGACCATTCTACCATTATTATTTTTACGGCAGTCCGCCCCCCACGGCGTCATGTTTGCCTCTTTCGCTTGGGTACGTATGCCGTACGAAATGTGACGAAGAGCAGGAGCGCGAAGGCAGACCCTGAGGTAAGACAGCAAACCTAAGACCTCCGCTCGCTGTCGCTCGCCTAGATCCTGGAGGCTGGAGCTGGCTTAGTCTCCTGCATCGTCTTTCTTCGGTTTGGGGGGGATGAGATGTGCGCAAAAAAGGAGGCTGTAACAAAACCGCGTCCAGTCTTTGAGCGCTAGTTGGCCGCCGTCGCCCATCGCCTGTTACCCCCATAATTAATATTCGTTAACTAACCAGCCTCCAAATGACTGATTTCTCGTACGGAGTAAAAGAAAACATGAAACCTCATTCGAAAGCCGTCAAACCAGTGTAGACAGGAACGGTGGAAGTGATTTGGGCCTCCAATAAGGTGCTTCTCGTCCCATGTTTGAGGAGAGCCGGCGGAGTGATCAGCTTTCCTTCGTCCCTGCTCACAACCAGAGCCTTCAGGCCAGTCAGACACGCCGAGCCTTATGGTCATGCCGCTGGAGTGTTGGACTTTATCCTTGTCATAGCAGGATTTGCTCGCTAGGTGGACCGCCCATGCTCATAGTCCGAAGAATGTGTGTATACGGAGTTTACACTAAGGGGACAAACAAGCCAACGGAAGCAACCAGCAGTGTCGAGGTTTATGTAAATTTTTGGCCAAAATGCTTAGCATGGAGCGTCGATAAGACACCGAGCAACGACACTAAAACTGCTTATCCTGGCTGGCTCTCATACAGAGTATATGTTCCAAAGTCATTCATCCATATGCGTCATGAATGCGTATCCGCTTGCTCCTCCTGTGCCACCATTCATACTGCAACCGGCTTCGACATTTGAGCCAACAAGTACAAAAACAACAGGAGTAAAAAAAGAAAGAGAGGGCGAGATGAAAAAGAAACAACGAGAAAGGGAAGAAATGAAGCGTCTGGCCCAAGACCAAAAGTGATCGAATTATTTGGTCAGCATCGTGTGTCTGTGGTAAATCCCATCTTTTGCCGCGATCTCAAGCCTCGCCAGTCCGTCATTCGCCCGCCAACAAGGTAACGAACGAAACGATACTTTGCTTAGACCTCTCGACGGCGTCTTACCAAAACTCAGCCTAGGTCGACCCTCCCTGACGACGCAAGCACCAGGAGTCAGACCTCGGGGAAGGGGACTGGAAAAGGCGAAGGATCCAATCGCCAACGGTGACCACAGGAAAAGCCAAAAGAAAAAACTCCACCTCTCTCCTGGCCAGTTGCGTTTGCTGAACCAGATACTTCACAACACCAGGAATCGAGCTCATCATTCTTGACCTCCATGAATGTTAGTTGTTCCATATTATTCAGTATTATTTGTTCTCCGCCACCGGTAGCTGCTTAGCATCATGGTCTAGGATCTCCTTTTTTTTTTTTTTAGTTGGACACGATCTTGTGCCAGTAACCCCCCCTAACCGGCGCTTTGGGATAATTCTCAGGGTGGATGTACAATCCATTGGAAACGACGGAGCGCTGAGAACAAATACGCTGGGTCCGTCACGTTGACTATACTGGATGCGCGGGATTAAAAGGCAAGGTACTGCATTTGGATGGAATCTCCGACTTTGCGTCAACTTGGAACATCGTTCGGAAGGACAGGGAAAGCCAAAGAAAGCCAAACGATTACGCCAGTCCAGTTATGTACGGGGGTCCGTAACTTTCGCTGCATCCCTCAACTATGGCCATACTATGTTATGGGTCTGAATACGCCTGCTGTACGGAGTATGGTGACTAACACTAACGGTTGGTGTCCATGGACAGAGTCCGCCCCAGGCTGGCTGTCTATTGGTTGGACTTTCCTTCGAGATCTGAGATCTCGACAGGCGAGGCGGAGATGGGCCACAAAAATATCTACCAGCTTCCCAACTGATAACTGCGAGCCAAAGGTGGGACAAGAAGCTCAACCTCTGCTGATGGCTGCAGCCAAGCCCACAGCGGGTTCTCCAGCAGAAAAGCGATGTCCGCTTCACCCCCTTTCACCCTGTGATTTTTGGCTTACTTGACAAATACTTAGGCAGTGGAAATGGAGGAGGTACCTTGCAAAGACAGGCTGATTTCACCCTCCTTTTTGATCGACAACAACAGGCAGACTTTCGAACACCAAGTCTCCCTTTCAACACAACTGTGTTCGGCGATCCTCGGGCCAAATTAGGTGGGCTAAAACAAATCAAGAGAATGATACTACATTTCACTTGACTTGGGGAGTATCTGTGGGCATCACGGCACGATAGCATCCTTGCTCGGGGATCAATGTCCCAAGAGAGGACGAAGTCACACCGCCCCTACTCTAAGCATC